ATCATTTCAAGGATCTCAGTGTGTTTTGTGTATCCCAGACACATTACATTGATAGTTTTTCCTTTTTTAAAGACAGAAACAAAACTATTCGGAAAACTTTTTTTGTTTTTTTGAGACACAGTCTTGCTCTATAGCCTAAGTTGGGCTGGGACTTGTGATCCTCCTGCCTCAGCCTCCAGAGTGCTTGGATACAGGCTCATGCCACCACACCAAGATGAAAACTATTTTTTAGATGCATTCTTTTAGGGATAGGTTCTAAAATTGAAGGTACTAATTTCAATGTGTCAACTTAGACTTCTGCAGTTTTCAGCTATCTCTGCCCTTCCAGATACAACTTTTGTAATTATCTTAGGAGCCAATGAGTCACTTGTTTTGACACTAATGGATAGTTCCTATAATGGCTATGTAGGAGTCAGTCAAGGAAGAACAGGGGTCAGAGAAGAAAGGATGGTTTCTGGTTTTGATAAAGACAGACAATGTAGAAGAGGGGTAGGGGCAGGTGTGATGGATATGACCCTTGAGGGTTTCTTGTGGTCACTACCCTAGTCCACCAATCCAGAGAAGGGGGAACTCCCTTGCAGTGGTCCTCATTTTCTAGCAAATATATTCTACATTTCTCCCAAGAGGTTGTAACTAACAGTGGGCAAGAAGGCAAAGCTGCATGGACCTGCTCACTCGATGGGCATGCGTGACACAAGGCTCTTTTCTTCACTGGGAAGCTGGTTCCTTAAATAAAGGGTGACTTAGCATCACCACTGAGCTTCCATCCAGGAAATTCTAAAGCAAATGCATATCCTTTCCTTTCCTTAAATGGGAGCCTCAACTCAGAGGAAGCATGGAATAAGTCACAAGCTATTCTCAGGAGGGAACAAACCTGTGGCTGAACCAATGAAAGCCTCAATGGTGGAGAGCATCCTGGAATTGGCAATGGATTTGCATCCAATGTGAATCTGTTCTGTCATATGGGAGAAAGAGGAAAACTCTATTGTGGCTGAACAAAGTCTGGCATTTGGGCAGTTTGTGGCCAATCACAAATGCTACAAAATGTGTCAGTGTCACTATAGAGGGCAGGGCTGCCTTGCAGGCTGGGTGGAAGAGCTGGCTCTCACCTGGCAATGGTGAGCTGCTACCATTAACAGTCTAGTCCACTAGACTGTCTGCACATATGTATTTTGAGCCAGGCTCTTGCTTTGTTGGCCAGGCTGCTCTCAAACTCCTGGGCTCAAGAGATCCTCCTGTCTCAGCCTCCTGAATAGCTGGAACTAGGGTGTGCACTGCCATACCAGGCTGCATTTTATTTTTAACACAGATTCTAATTTCAAGCTCTATCCCTGACAAGGTATGTGATACTAGACAAGTCCCTTAGCCTCTCTGAGCCTCACTTTCTCCATTTCTAAAAGAGTGACCTTGGGGCCAGGGTGTGTGGCTCAGTGGTAGAGTACATGTATGACGGAGGCCCTGGGTTACATCCCCAGTACATATGTATGTACACACACACACATGCATGCATGCATGCACACACACTGCTGGGGACCTGCCCCTTCTTCCTGCTTCTCTCTATAGAGCACACCCCTCAATGGCCCACCTGCCAATGGCATTAGAAAGGGGAAGAGGAGCTGGAACAGCCAGGATTCTGGAGTCAGACAGTCCAGTGTTCTAAGACCAGGGTCACATGACTACTCCTTGTGCAGGCTGGGAGTTCTTTAGATTCTTGGAGCCTCTCTTTGCCTCTAAGTAATAACAGTGGTTACTTTTTATGGTGGTGTCATGTGCTTCAGACAATTCATTAAGTATTTATCTTATCTACCTCTTACAATCAACTCATGAAATACTCAACTTATGGATGGGGGTGAGTCATAGGTTAATGGATAGAAATAAAGGGCAAAGGCAGGATGTAAAGTCTGTCTGGCTCCATGTGGCTAGACAGCCTCCCGGTCTTTCTAGCTCTGACGTGTACTACTCTAATAACAACCCTCACAGGCTGCCGGAATCTCAGAGTTTCCAAAGGTCTCTAGATAGTGGTTAAGAGAACAAGCTCTTGCGTTAGCCTGCCTGGGCTCCAATCAGGCTATGCCATTGATGGTGAGCACCTGGGGGAGGTCACTTAATTTGTGTGAGACAGTTCCTTCCTGTCCACATCATGTCAGGAGAATTATGCGAGCTGATGCCCTTTAAATTCCTAGGCGAACAGTAGGTGCTCACTAAAGGCTCTCTTGCCTGTTATCTTCCTGTTTGGCCTGGTCTCCACAGGACTCCTGCTTGAGTGGGTGTCCCAGGCGTGGGTGACTTCACCCTCTGTTTTAGCAGTGATATTCACAGTATGCTCCAGGTAGCCAAAGAGTCCTTGTGGGGCCGCAGGGACATCTGAAGAGTCTGGGCTCTCAGGATCTCATCACAGAGCAGATCTGCTTTTATCTGCTTAGTATTTAAGTTTGCAAATGTCATTATCTTAAAAGAGGAGTTTCCTAGTTATCTGCTAGGAAACGTATAGAATAAAGGAAAGGAATGCGTACATACTAAAACTGAGGCCTGAACTATGTACATTTTCCATTTCCTATGCAATCCTCCAATGATATATAACCTCTGAGGATAAGACTTGGGACTGGCAGCAGTGGGATCGTGGTCCTGGTACAATTTTCACTTTCTTATCCTCTGAGCAACTTGTGCATTAAAACCTCAGGTGACCTTCTTAAAAATACCAATATCTGGTAACTGTGGGCTAGGCTCCAGCTAACAAGTTCCCCAGATGCTTTCCAAATTAGTGGGCAGGAGTCCCCTTTGAGAAACATAGTACGGGGTAGTGCAGGCACTTCTCTCTAAAGTTTTTTTAAAAACTTCTTTCAAGGAAAATCTCCTGGGGTTGGGATAGAGTCTCTCAGACATAAAAAACACATCTGAGTTGAGCCACTGGAGTCCAGCACACTGTGGAAGACCAGGCTTTGAGTGTGCTTCAAGGAGAGCCTACAGTGCCTCCTTGTGGACGATCTGAGCAACTGGAACAGCTCTTGCTAGGTGGAAGGCTTTGCTCACCTGGAGACATCTCCCAGGACTCCTTGCTGTGCCATCCACCCCAGGTAGGCCTGTTTCCTTGTACTAACTGATACCCTATGAGCTTGGTCTCGTTGGCTATCAGGCTGTGACCTTCCTAGACTACCTTCCCCTCCACAAGTAATCTTATCCACCCTTTACCAACCCTACCTCTCACTCCAGAGAGCCTCCGGAGCCTTCTCACCCCCAGTTGCTACGGAACATACTATTTTTTGGTGAGACTGGGGTTTGAATTCAGGGCTTTACATCTGTTAAAAAAAAAAAAAAAAAGGTTCTCTACCACTTGAGCCACACCTCCAGTCTGTTTTTCTCTGGTTATTTTGCAGATGGGGGGGTCTCCTGAACTATTTGCCCAAGCTAGTCTTGAACCTCAATCCTCCCAGTCTCAGCCTCCTGAGTAGCTAGGCTTATAGGTATGAGCTATTGGTACCTAGCTCAGAACATACTTTTTGAATAATAAAACCTTGCCCTATTTTGTTTGGTCTTTAGCTATTTCTGGGATTCATGACATATTCCTAATCCTTGTGGCCAGAAACTCCTTCCCTGTCCCTCATGTTCTAGATTCAGTGTCAGGCACACTGCCCCCGCCCCCACCCTGCCCCACGCCAGTCCACATTGTCCCCAACACCAAAGAAGACAAAACTCATAGTCTGCAACTAGATTTAAAGTTCTTCCTCATTTCAATTATTTGAGAATGTTTATGTTACTATCTTTTACCCAATTTCATTCCATAAGAAACAAACTTATTGTTGGTTAATTTTTATCTGTCAGGTGGTTAATGAAAAGTTTACAATCCCCTATTGATTTTGAGTGGAGGCGGCATCAATTACCTTTGCCCTTTTCACTTGTGGGTTTTAGCTTCCTACTGCTGTTCAGCACACCTTGCTCTACTGTATTTCACACGCTCTGTCCTACGCCACTGTCAAAAAAACCTTCCTCTCACTCAAAGCTTTTTGCTTGGCATTCCTTTCTTTCTGACATTCATATTACTCATGCTTTCCTGAATCACAGCAGTCACGTACATTTGACCAACTTCTTCAGCTTCTGTGTCTTTTACCTTTCTGTAGTTTTCTAATACATGATGCATTGCTGATTTGTGTGCCTGAATCCTATCTGAGACTTGCAACCCCTCACTTATGAACCCAGACTGTTTGCTGTTTGATGCTGTTAACTATGATCTAGTCTCTTATTGGATGGTTTTATGCAAGTTGTGCTCTCTTTTTTGCTCTTACTGAGTGAACTAGTCTGCTTTTTTCTACCTTTAAGTACGTTCTATTTTCATCTGGTTAGTGATCAGTAAAACTGACTAAAAAACTGAGGTCTCCTTGGGACCTCTTTGGTTATGTAAAAGGCCAGTGGGGGACACCTTTGTTAATATAGGTCTCATGTATGATAGGTACCTCCTGGGGAGGATGGGGTCTGACTTTGGTTTCTGAGGTTCTAAGGGTCTGGAAGTGCCAGATGCAGTGTTCTCAGGGGATGACCAGTTGCTTCTGAATTCTGAGTACAGTTGGGGGTTGAGAGCTGGCTGTCATTATCCCTTGGGTGGCTCGCCCCCTCTGCCTCTCCACTTCCTTCCACCGTGGAGGTTTGAGCTTTTGTGTTGGCAGCTAAACAGGCTCAGACTCCCTCCTCCTCACTTTCTTACACGTCTCTCCATGACTACCAAACACTACTAGAGGAAGAGGGTGAGATGGAGTTCAGTAATGGGTGGCAGTCCTGGTCCCCTGATTGCTGCTTGGATGCTCTGAGCCTGAAGGCACAGCCCCTTACTGTGCCCCTGTTATCCTTTGAGGAGCACAGGTCTCACCTGGAGGTTCTTACAGCAACTCTGCTGCCTGAGGTTTATGAGCCACACAGTCACCATAGCTGCAGAGACGAGGGCTTATATCACTGCTTTGCCCTCCACTGCTCAGTGGCACCAGGTGACCAAAAGGCCTGGAACCTCTTACCTCAAACTGGATCAGCACTGTCCCACTTTCAAGGCCTTTCTTCAGCAGGTCCATGGATCCTTCCAAATTGTCCCCGCCCTCCGGACACATGGGGAAAATGGCCTCTGGGAAAAGCTGGTTCAGTTCATCTTCTGATTTGATCTCAGCAAATGAGTGGACAGCTGGAAGAGACAAGATGGACTGTGCCTGGCTCATCACTCTGGCTTATCAGTGTCCCTCAAAACATGACCGGAGACACCTGGATGTGGGTAGTTTACAACATCTCATTAAATGATTAAGCACACAGTAATCATTTTCACCAGAGACCCTACTTGTAGCTGAATGATTCAATGTGTGCTAATTGTATAAAGAGACACAGTAATCTTTCTGGTTAGTTTTAAATTATGGTGTTCAGCACTCACAGGCTTTGGGCCAAAAGGTGAGGGACTGAGAGGAACATTTTGAAGGTATATTTTCTCTTTGCTCTCTCTGACCTTGTTATTTTTCTACCCAAACCACATCCTCTCCCTTCCCAGGTCCTTTTCCTTTACTCCCTGAAAATGGGCATCTTTCCAGGCATGGGGGGAGGTCCTGAGCTCTCCTTGTCACACCACCATTCTCAAGACACTGGTTTGTAATTCAAGGCCACGTGGATACCTCTAGTCCTCACATGAGCCAGCTGTGCTTCAAGTCCAAATTATCCCTTCATGTCAAACTCAAGACAGGAAGGGAACCAACCTAAGCCCCTCGCCTTCCCCACCCTGCACAACACTTTTAACTCAGTTGGCTGTATCTACTTTATCTTCCTTTTCCCAAATTGGAAACTTTGGGATAATTTCTGAATTTTCCTTTTCCACTCAGAAAACGAAGACACTCCCTTACTCAAAAGCTTTCAAAAGCTCCCTTCAAGATAGCAGTTCTACATAGTTGAACTGAATCCTGTTTTGTTTTTGTCTTTTTCTCCCCATCACAAATTTCCATCTGCTGGACTCTCAGGGCAAGTCATTTGTCTAAAGTTACTGAGCCTGTCAGGGCAGGACACAGGAATTAGTTCATATGTGATTATAAAGAACACATTCTTGTCGCTGACCACAGCAGCTCAGCCCTTCTTGTACCATCTGATTTCTGTCATATCTGCAACACCCTGTGCTAATGTTGGTTTATTTTTTCCTTAAGTCAATTCACATTTTTTATTTCCATGTTTATGTTAAAAATAAACTTATCCTCATAGTTCTTAGAAAATTGGTGGCCTTGCCTTTTTAGTTCTAGCAGTCTATCTATTCACATGGTTTTCTTCACCTCCAACAGGCACCAGCCCCTGGCCATGGCTGGTGCAGGCCTGGGATGCCCAGTGCACCACAGGGCCATCTGTGTAAGGGACTCCTGCTACTAGCACTGATTCCTTCGGCCCCTATCATCAGGTAGCCTAACCAGTCACAAAGCAGCGGGATGATTGCCTTCACCTCCTTGTGACCTGGTTCCTCCAATCCCCCATCTGGAGATGAGAATACTTGTCTTCTGGAAGCTCCACAAAGGGGACAGGCTGTGAGGCAGTCAGCACCTACCCTTACTGTTAAGCACCTACTGTGTGCCGAGCATGCTGCTGGGACTTGTGGGGACAGGGAGGAGGGAGCCAGACAGATGCCCTAAGGCCTCAAGGAGGAGGTGGGGCCAGCACTGGCCCTGGCTGGCTCTGGGCTGGCAGGAGCAGAGTGGGACATGTGGCTGCATCTAGGTGTGAGGCCAGGGTAGAGACATGGGGGTCAGGGTTCTGCATTCACCCTCAGTATTTAATGCTGTTCATGAAGACTCTTACTTTATAAAGACGACAAAAGTAATTGTAATGGCACTCAATGGAGGCCTTAAATACCTACTGCCCCCCAGGCGACATCCAAGGCACTTAGCAACACATCATTTCCTCTTCATGAGAACCCAAGGGAGTCACTAAGCCATGCTTTTGTTACATTTGAGGATACTGACATGCAGACTGGGTGTGTAACTTGTTCAAGGTCCCTCCATCACAAGGGGCAGAGTCAGGCAGCACAAGATAGTCAAGTCAAGCTCTAGTCCTGCTATCCTCCCTGCCCCTCCACCAAAGTCACGCACAAATCAAACATAACCGCAACCTTCAAGAAGGGTTGAATAATGCAAGGTCAGGCAGCTAAGAATGTGACATGGGGAGATAGAAGAATTGGGGGCTTCAGCCCTATATGAAGGGGACAGGCTGGGGTTGCCTCCCCCCAGAAGAGCGGCCATAGATTTTTCCAGTAAGAAGTCAGACATCCCAGATTCTTGATTTTCACATGTTGGCTACAAACTCAACATTTCTGAATGCATGCAATGGGCTGGACCAAGTCCTGCAATGTTCAGACAGTATCCCTGTGGCTCCTCCCCCTGTAGGCAGGTGGTTTGTTACCTTTCCTCCTGATCACCAGGGCCAGCTCCCTTGAATGTGACTCCCGGCTGGCTTTGATGAACATCACCACCTGGTCGTGGGTGTGCTCTGAGATGTCCCGGCCATTGATCAACACGATCTGATCCCCTTCATTCAGCTTAGGAATGCAGGTGTCTGCCTGAGTGGAGGGAAGTGAGTTTCTTTGTTACCATAACATCATCCTCAAGGGAAAGAGCACTGCTGCTCTCCAATCCTAGACACCTGAGACCGTGATCAAGTTCACCTTCTCTCCTGGGGTATCGCTGTCATCATTTGTACAGCCACTGCTATGTGGATACAGTACTAGGTTATGAGATTTTAGAGATGTGCTGCTCAGAATGTAAGCTATGAGGCATTTCAGAATAGGACCAGTCCTGAAGCTATTTCTCCACAGGAGTTAACCTTTGCTGATTATGACTTAAGACAAGTGCTTCCAAGCTTTCGTTTTCTAGGTGTCCTGTTAAAGAAATGACTTGCCAGCAAGGATGGGTATTTATCTGCCTTACAATGGGGAAGGCTTTGTCAGCAGAACAGAAACCTTCAGGGAGCATAGCGATGATGAACTGAACAGTGCAGGAGGAAAGCCTCCTTAATCCCCAGAAGCCATAAACAATAACAAAAGGTTAACAATAAGCTTTTTTAAGGACAATGAAGAGCGAAACTCTTCTAGAAGTGCTGCCCTTTTAGAAGGCAGTGACTGATGCTCTAACACTTTATAAAAGCAAGGATCACAAGAAACTGTGGAAGGTGATGGGTATGTTCACTTGTTTGCCTGTGGCTGCCATTTCACTATGTCCATCAAAACATCATGTTGAATATTGTACACTAAGATAAACTAAAGAGAAAAATGGTGAGTGATATCCTTAGGAGGACTCAGCAGAGGGCTGCGGGTGGTGCTAGGGAAGATGGTGGGACAGGGGCATAAGGTCCAAGATCCTATAATTTTGTGCCTCACTTTCCTTCTCTTGAACAGTACTTCCCAAAATTAAATATGCACACAAACCACTCGGGAATCTTGTTAAAAATGCAGATCCTGGGTCAGCAGATCTGCGTTGGGCCCAGGAATTCTGCCTATCTAACAACGGCCCAGGTGACACTCTGCTGCAGCTCAGAGCCCACACTGTGCAGCAAGGTTCTAGAGAATGTTGTCTGTCTGTGTGTTTACATAGATTCTTTGCTGCTAGAGAAACAAAAGAGAGAAAAAAGAAATGAGATGCAGAAATAGAAACCTATTCAACTGAGGGGAAAATAAGCATGGGAAATAATACAGGACATGCTTACTTACCGGTGACTCTGGATTTATCCTTGAGACCACAAGAGGCATCTTTTGATCCACTCCTCCCTGTAAATGTTTTAAAGTGGAAACAAACTTGAGTAGTTCACAGCAACAAAGACATGTGATACCAATAAATGGGAGTCCTGTGTTTTGGGGAGGCTTCAAACTTGGATCTATTCCAATCACAGGGTGTGGCACCCCGTTCTGGATTATGGAACAGATTGCTGCCCCCTCTGCACCTGTACGGCTGACCAGAACTCTGCTCAGAGGCCTCTCCTACCATCCCTGTCATCTGTGAAATGAAGCTCCACTCAGAGGACACGCGCAACACTGACACCTCACCAGGGAGAGGGCACAGTGAGCTGCTAATGAAAGCACTCAGGGGAGGTGGTAAGGCCTCAGGAAGGACCACGTGCTGTGAGCAGGGCCTCAGAAGGCTGCTGGGAAGAATGGAAGCCGTGTATGATGGCAGCTGAGTGGGCAGCAAGGACCACCTGCCCTCCCTGTGCTTGTCCTCTATAAAAGTCTAGGGAGAAGACGTTTTAGGCTCTGTACGAAAGAGGGCTCTGAGGCAATCACTGCACTCTACCAACAAACTGTCAGAGTTGTAACTGATGGATGGGGCTGTTCCAGTAATACTATGTCCACAAACAGATGGGATCTGGCCTATGGCTGCAGTCTGCACACCCTGCCTAGAAGCACCCAGAAGATGTGGAGGCCCTGCACTTACAGGCATGCACCACCACACCCAGCAAATAGCTGTTTTCTCTTTATCAGCTTTAGGGTTGCTTCAGGGTTCTCTTAACAACTCCTCAAAACAAAAACAAAAACAAAACTCCCAGGTCTGAGGGCTGAGCAATTTCCTTATGCAGCTTGGGTATATAGCACATTTCCAAAAGAAATTAAAAACTCAGCTGAAGATGGCTTCATAGCATTACAACTTCCTTACAAATACAGACAACTCACCTTAAGATTAAATCCAAATCTCCCATCTTCATCTGGAGTGATACGGATCAGGATCAAGTAGCCATCACCATTGTCATTCTGGAAGATGTTTGAAAGTGTTATTTATGTTACTTCCCTCTCCAGGACTTGGTGAGAAAATAGGTTTTTTTTTTTTTTCAGTGATAATGACTTAGTACACTGCCCACAGTGGTGGGTCACCTGGCCACTTGGGTAAGGCAGAATCTGGGTTCATTCACCTTGTCGCAGTAGTACTGGCTGGCATCCTCAGTGGAGCCCCCTTTGGTCACTCTGTGGCGGTCTTCTAAGAACTGCTGGTCAACTCCGTCGGGTGAGTAGGAGCCTGGAGCATTTGAAGATGGAGACACAGAACTGGATGACTTCTTGGTCAGGCAGCTTTGTGCTGGGTTGTTCTCGGATAAACTCCTTCATCATGGGGAAGGAGGAGATATTTTAATAACTAGATTAGTATTTTATTAGAGCAAACAACACTATTGGGTCTGGCATCTCAGAATTGTCATGGATCCCTGAACCTTACCAGAGCTGGCGCCCTCAAGAGTCCTTGGGCCACTCCTGCCCTATCTGGACTAAACATTATCACATCTGGTTTGGGGGCAAAGGGACAGGAAGGCAGGGCAGACTTACGAGCTTCTGAAAACAGCTTCCCACCCAGTTGCTTTAGAAGGCTGGTGGGGAAATGTGTCAGATATTTTGGAAGTTTAACTATTTAAATTTTTTATGTGTGTGTTGCCCAGGCTTGGCCCTGAACTCCTAGGCTCAAGTGATCCTTTTGCTTCAGGCTCCTAAGAAGTTGGGCCTCCCTCCAGCTGTGCATCACTGTACCAAGCTCAGATGGTCTGAGTGTGGAAGCAGACTACCAGGCAGGGTGATGCAGTTGCATAGGTTCCTGCCTGAAGGCCTTTTCCTTCTGTCTCATTCCTACTGCCAGCTCTGCTTAATACAGCTGGCTGCCCAAAGTAGGAAGGACTAGTTCTGGATATTCAGGATCATTTCTATCACTGCTGGTCTGTACTATCTGCCTTGATGTCTATGAATAGCCTGTGCAGAAACCATATGTTTTATTTTTCTCTGTCATTAGGTCCTTTTGCATCTTACAGCTGCATTGTCCAACATGGTAGCCATTAGTCACATGTGGTTGCCTAAATTTAAGTAACTTCAGCTGAGAAAGTTGGTTCCTAAGTGTATCTCAATGGCTACATGTGGCTCCTTCCGCACTGCACAGTCACGGAATGTCTGTCACCATAGAAGTTCTATTGGATGGGGTCGTTTTAAGACAATTACAGCTGATGAAAACCTAACAGACCTCTGTGGTCATTAGCTCCAACCCTCACCTCACAGATGAAGACGCTGAGAGAGGCTGAGTGACTGGCCCAAGGTCACACAGCTTTCCCCTCCCTAAGAGACAAGCCTAGCGCAGGTGGGTCCCAAGCATTTGTTTTCTCTTTAGGCTATGCTAACTGTGCTCCTAAGATCCCCATCTCTAACCTCAGGACCAACCATCCCCACTGGCACGTATACATCAGGTTGTTCAGCGTCTTCATCACTCCTACTAGCGCCCTTTCAGGGCGGTGAGCCTAGCACCCAACTACTGGTTCTTTCACATTTCACAGACTGCTATGGCCCACCTCATGAAAGGTGAGGAGAGAGCAGTGAGTAGAAAGAGGAGAAACAGACCAGACAGCTGCTACCACCTCTTACTAAACCTTGATTTCAGGCCTTTCTTTGTGCATTTTTCTGTTTCCACAAGTTCATACTAGCTTTTTCTTTCTTCTTCTTCTTCTTTTTTTTTTTTGTTGTGCTGGGGATCGAACCTTGCAAGGCTTCACATATGCTAGGCAAGCACTCTACCACTGAACTACATCCCAGCCCAAATAAGCTTCCTTAAATATAAAATCTGTACCCTATTCACACAGAATGATTCACAGTCTCAATTCATTTGAACAAAATATTCAGTGACAGACCAATGTGGAAACAGCTACATGTAAGAGAAGAGGCTGGTCTTACGGTTTTTCAGTCGCTGGTTGAAGGAAGGGTGTTAAGGATGTGCAGGCCTGTCAGAGAGAGGACATTTTGGAATTGAAGTTGTACGTTAATGGTCACACTGAAAGTGAATGAGTATGTATGTACGTATGTACGTATGTATGTATTTACTTAGAGAGTGGGGTCTTGCTATGTTGCCCAGGCTGTTCTGGGTAATTGAACTCCTAAGCTCAACTTACTCTCCAGCCTCAGCCTCTGGAGTGCTGGACCTACAGGTGTGTACCATCATGCCTGATGTGAATGAGACTTTAATTTACTTAAAGCTAAAAAAAAAAAAAAAAAAAAAATCCCCCTAAGGGCAATGTGGCTAAGTTTTACTGTTTTTTGTTTGTTTTGTGGTGCTGGGATGGAACCCAGGGCCTCACACATGCTAGACAAGTGCCCTACCACTGAGCTACGCCCCAGCCTCAGTTCTACATTTTACAAGAGTGCCACCCGTTGACAGAAAGGATAACTGCTAAAGCTAAAAGGTTTTGGAAACACAATTTCCAGGTCTAGGGATGGACTTGAACCTGTCACAGGAAGAAGCTGCAGACACTGTGTTGTGTACCCACATCCAATGTCTAGGTGAGTGTGGAAGGTGGGTGACAGCAATGGAAAGGGTAAAATGTGAGAGGATGATGTGGAAGAGACTAATTTCAATAAAATGGTATGAAAGAATATTGTTTAGTTAATGTTTAAAATTTCAATTTGTAGATTTCATTATGAGGTTTCAAAGTATTTTTTCCCTTTACAATATAAAACTAAACAGTTTCTGCCTAGCATGTGTAAGAACTTAGGTTTGATCCCCAGCACCATAAAACAAACAAAAATCCTCAACAGTCTATGGAAGACAGCTAACAGCAGTTCCACTACAATTAGTACAAATAACTGCAAGTCATCTCATGCCACAAAGTAGATGTTACCTTATTAATTCATTATTAATAGATAACAACTTGTTAAGCAAATGGCTGGTTATTGGCTGACCAACTATGTACAGACAGACACACAAAGAGGACATCAAATGACAAGAAGCAGTAAGCAGGTGGCAGCTGGACAGGCACTAGGATGTCAGGAGTGAAGACGCCAAAACGATGGCTTTCCACCCCTTTGGAGCAGACTCGAGATGCCTTGAAGGGGAGCCGAGTGGGCCAGAAAGGCGAGGGAAGGATGCCGCCCTGTGGAATTGGGAAAGGAATGGGATGAGGGAAGCAAGAAGACTGTGCAGGGGAGGAGAAGCCAGAGGCGGTCCCTAAATAGGAGGAGGAGGCCATGAGGAAAACTGTCCTGTGTTCCAGGAAGCAGAGTAGTCAGCATGGAATAGACTATACCCTAGCCCCTGGGGAGAAAGGCAGAGATAGACTGTCAAACAGTAGAGGCAACAGGTATCAAAAACGAAAGCCATGAGTGGATTCATTTCTCTGAAGAGCTCCGACGTTAAAGAAATGAAAACCTGCAGCTCTTCTCCTACAAGAAAGCCCCCTGTGAAACGCTTTCCCTGAAGCCAATTTGAGAGATGATCAGGAGGGAGCGCTAACAAGGTGAGATGTGGGCCAGGAGATGGTGAAAGAGAAAGAGGAGTAAGGGAAGACTTGAGTTGCCAGCAAGTGCACACAGTATTGTACAAGATGTGGACATGAAGACCAATAGCTGAGATGGAGTGGGGTTCCCATTTGTGAGACGTCTGCTCAACCAAGTGGGCAAAGTCAAGTGCAGGTCAGGCCAGGAGCAGGGACAAACAACACTTGTAGGCCGACTGGGATCTTCCATGGAGAGGCTCAGGTGGTGCACAGATCTCTCATGCACTCAGATCTGATGTCACTCCTGGTAAGGGGCTGATATATCCTCAGAGTGTGGTGGCAGAAAGTGGCTTGAGAAACTGGAATTGTTTAACCTGAAGAACACGAGGCAGGGCTGTCAGGACTGGAAAGAGATGCTCTGTGTACTATTCTGGGAGCTCAAGGCAAGAACCTGTATGCCAGGTCAGTGTCAAGGATACATCCAGCACAGTTTGAGAAGTCTTCCTTCAGTATCCTCAGGGGACTGGTTCCAGGTCACCTCCACTGAAGATACCCAAACTTTATATAAAATGACACAGTATTTGCATATAACCTCCTGTACACTTTAAATCCTTTTGGGTTACTTACAATCCCAGTACATGTAAGTGCTGTGCAAACAGTTGTTATACTGTATTGTTCAGGGAAGAGTGACAAGGAAAAAAGCCTGCACATCTTCAGAAAAGCAACCATCATTGGAAGTGCAGTTGGTTGAGATTGTGGATGTGACATGCGGATGGAGAAGATTAGCCGCACTGACAACAGAGCAGAGGGAGCTGCCACACTACAGGTGGGCTCTCTGACACTGGCAGGGTTTTCAGGTCCTAATGGCTTGAATGATAGGGCCAGGAGAATTCCTACACTGTGGATGTGGCTGAAGAAGGGGATTCCCCAAGGTCCCTTTCAAACACAGAAGTTTTGCCCCTAGAAGAAGGCAGATTCTCAGGAAAGAAGCAAACAGGGAGTGACACTCAAGCTAAGGGGTGTCATGTGATCACCCATCAAAGCAACTGTGGTAAATTAACAACAAAAAAGGTTTTGAGTATAACCCTAAACCTCCCAAAAACTTGTTTCCCTCAGTGTCTGCTCTGCAAGTCTGTTTTTCCATAGGCCACATCTCCTTCTTGTATTTGGGGGAGAAGGTGGAGGGTTTTTTGATTTTTGTTTCTGTCACAAAGAAGACTCACTTCTCTGCAGAATTTGGTTTTCCTTGGAAGCAAGGAGAGGAACACAGAATGGCTGATACAGCGTTGGGAACAACAAAAGCACACAGCCTGCTTGGCACAAAGCATGCTGCCAAGGCTTCATAACTATAATCATAAACTTTGTGGTGCTGCTATAAATACGGAAAAACAGCGAGTGACTCATCTGCTAGGATAATGTTCCCGCAGCCCGCGCTGTGCCGCTCTGGGTGGAGAGCCAAAGCCTAACCGCTCTTTTTCACTTTCTTCTCTTTTTTAAACGAGTACAGAACATTATACTTAATTCTTCTTAAAAGGAGCCCTCCTCACTGTCTGTGAGATTATTCATTGGATTTCTCTGACAGAATGCTTCTTTTTGCTTCTTAACACAAATCTGCTGTAGAAAACATGTCAAACATTTCTTAAACATTTTGCAAATACTTACTAAAGTACCCGACACAGTTCTTACCAAGAACAGACCAGCCTGTACCTGTTGCCTGGAGAATGGAGGCCCCCCAGGTGTTCAGGAGGGTCAGTGGCCTCAGAAGCCCCAGCCCAAAGCAGCTTCCCATTAGCAAGAAGGGGTCCGCTACCTAGATGAGGGGCTCGGGGGATGGATGGATGCTAGTCAGCTAATATGTTGGCAAAATGCAGCCTGTCACCAGACTCCCAAAGCTGCCTACTGCATGTGTAGCTGGCAGACCTTGGCAAGGAAAGCAGCCTTTGTATCACCATTATCTGCTACAAAGTAAAAAGTGTCCCAGGAAGATTTCAAACAGATCAACATACAGTGTGGAGGGGTAAGCAGGCAGAAATCACTGAAATCAACAGTGATTTGAAAGTTTAATTTTCACGAACCTCATTGTACCTAGCCCCATGTGGCTGGCGGATCTTGTATCTGACAAAGAAGGTCTACAAGAACTACCATACTGTGTGGCTGCAGAGCCCAGTGGGAAAACTTGATGTAGGACAGCCAAGGGGGCTCCTCAGACCCTCAGACAGTTCTCCAAACTATTCTTCTTTCACCAGACCCCACAATGTGCCGGTGAAAGCTCATAAGGTGCTATTGCCCAGCTGGTCCGGAGATGCCTGAAGACAAAACCTGGAGTAATTTGATTCAAAGTCTCCTTCTCCATGACCAGCAAAGGCCAGATAAAGTATGCTGATGGATTTAAAACGCATCCACAAATCATTGGAAAGAAGGGAACTGTCCTATACCTGGCACTGACTACATGGTAAGGCATAAGAGGGTGATGGGCCATACAAGCTCGTGGAGGCCACCAACCTACTCGGCTTGCACAGCTGAGCACCTGGGTAAGAGGTTTAAGTGCATTGACTGAAAGCCAGGTGACAATTCTAAACTTGCACAGGACATCTGTTTGAGAAATGCCCTTTATGCTTGCACACATTCTGGGGGTTCACTCCACTTTCACCAAGTGCTAAGACAAATGTTTCAGTCTATGTTAAGTGCTGTCAACAGCATGCTGGGGGATGATGGAAATGGGCGCCATGTGTGCTAACTAATATGGTAGCCACTACCCACATGGCTCACAGAGCACCTGAATGTGGCTTCTGGGCCTGGGGAATTTTCATTTTGTCTTATTTTGGTTAGCCGTCTGCAGCTGGTGGCAACCACACAACTATACAGTGAGAGTCTAGAAGCTCTACAATACCACATCAGGACTGCAAGCCATGGTAGGAAGCCTGGGAGTGTGTGTGGGCTTCCCAACTCTTGGGCAATTCCCTAAGCCCTCTTCTCCTTTGGCCAAAGTGACACAGCCCAGAGCCCAGAGCCCATGGAGGACTCCTGCACTTTCGCCTGTACCCCTGCCTTGTATTTCTAGGTTTCCTGTGGTTTGCAAGGCCACAAGGTCATGTAAGGGAACTCACACTGTATATAGTAGCCTCCACAATGAGGCAGCAGGCTGCAAGTTCAGGGAATGAGAGTGATCATTTCAACAAAAGGATCAGCAAGCTCAGGTCACAAGGAAGTAATGACCACAGGGATTATTTAACCAGAAGTGTTAAGAACACAGATCAGCTGGAGACCACGTTTGCGGTGGACAGGGACAGAGGAGAGCAGAAGGAAGGAGGTCTCCAGTTCACCCATGAGTGCTCCCAGCACAGTCAGGATGCACTTAATGCTTTAAGCAGAGTACTGCTGCCGTAAACTCTTACACATTAACCCAAGCAAGAGCCTGCTTGCTAGTCCTTTCCTGGGAGGGGAGGCATTATGTGTCTGTATTTTGGCCATAGTATGGGCTTAGCGGAATGAATTCCCAAGGTGGACTTCCTAACAGTTTATCCTTTCCTATCATACTTTTTAAACATAAAATGTCATTTAATTAATAACTTATGTCCCATCTACTTTAAATGTGGAGATATAATAGAATCGCACAATGACGGCATGGAGAGAAAAGAAGGGATTAAATCAGAAACCTGGGTGGAGTGAAGCAAATGCAATTAAGCGTAACATGTAGCTCTGAGAACCCTGGTAATCAAGGTAAAAAGAAAAGCAATGGATTAGCTATCTGTAATTGAATAATCAAAGGACCCAAGCCAGTCTTGCAGAAGAGATGTGCTTTTTCCCAGTCTTGACTAATGAGGAAATTTGTCACCTTAAGAAAAGGAGGGGGGCAGTGAGATGAGCAATGAGGCAGTCCAGGCTCCAGTACTTCCTTGGACCACAGGTCAGCAACTGGCATGAAAGCACCCAGAAGGTTCCGTGTCTGCATTGTCCCTGTGGGTCTCCTGAGATTGTCCCCAACATGGGCCATGTGGCAACTAGAGATTGGCAGGATTGTTCTAGCAACAGAAAGACCGATGTGCAGCTGGAGTCTCAGTAACCTGTATGTTGTTCCTCTGCATTTAATTCCAAAAAGTTTAACTCCATTCCCAGTGTTAACTGTGTTACTGAATTCTTAACTGTTGTAAGCAAAAATACTAGGAAATGCCATACTGTGTTCCTACTTTCTTGAACTCTCAATTTTTTTTTTTTTTTTTTTTTGCGGTGTTGGGGATTCAACTCTGAGCCTTGCACATGCTAAGGAAGTGCTCTACCACTGAGCTACATCCCCATCCAGGACTCTAAAACATTTAAGATTAAATGACTGTGGTAAATGCTACTTTTAGTTACCCATAAATGCAACTAAATTGGAAGGTCATTTTGACCCTAAAATTCCCATGCTCTGCTTTTTAAAAGTTAAGGTTAGAAGATGATTCTATGTCATGGTTATATTCAAATGAAGCATTTCTGTGGATTTTTAAGTATCCATAAAACAAAAACTATTTCAGTGATATATTTTATACTGATCTCGCACAAAAGGCTTGCTTGATAAAATTCTAAATATTTTTGATATTTAGACTGTGCAATGGTGCATTAAAAGTCTTAAAAAGAAAAAAACAGAAGGACAGAATAAGCTGGCCTTGACAAAAATGTGAAAAAGAAAATCAAGAATGTTCTAGCATTTTCCCCTTTATATTATTAATTAAAAATGAAAGGCAAACAACCCTAAAGGCATACTCCTGTTCTGAGAAGGCTTTTAGAAGTCAATGCATTCCCAATGATGTGAAATTACAAGACCACAAAGTACTCGCGATCTAGAGAAATCATGGTGAACACAGTCTTAGAATCTGTGCCTCTGAAATATGGAATGACTTTAACCTGAGCTGTGCTCCTGACCTGGAGAGTACAAGGGCCTGACAGGTACCTGGAGAGCAGGCCTCTGTAAGAGACAAAAAGAAGACTGAGTCCCAGGCCCCAGGTTCCAAGCACACGTGCTGTCTCCTGTACAGACAGGCAGCTCAGATTTAAGTTTTCATCCTGGCAGAGAACACCCTTGAGAGCTGGCTGCAGGCACCAGCTCTTGACTCCTTTGAAATGGCAGCCTGGGCCTTAGCAAATTCCTCAACAGCCAAAAAACCAGATGCAAAAGAAAGAAAAACCATAAGATTCTTACTCTCGGTGTGGGCTGCGGTTCTGAGAAACTTCTGAATCACTGTCTCTGGGAGACAGGGAGCCTTTGTAGGTGTAGAATACGTCTTCAGTCTCCGTAATGTAGGTCATCTCACTTGCGAGGTTATCTGCAGAGGAGTGTCGGGGCTTCCGGATTTCATGTCGGAGCCGAGGACTTCGCCTGGGTGGGAGAAGGATGAAATACAAAATACTGAGAGCAAATTTCTCTCAGAGGCTGGGTTAGATGTCAACCATCTGACTTTGTGTCTTGGCCTCTCCAGGATGCCTTAGCTGATACTGTTAAAGTGAAAGTCAGAGCCAGAGCTGGGAGAGGTGAAACACTGCTGTAATCCTAAGGACTCAGGAAGCTGAAGCAATAGGATTGCAAGTTCAAGGCTAGGCTGAGGCTACATAGTGAGACCACATCTCCAAAAACCAACTAACCAACTAGAACAAAGAAAAGAATAAAGTCAGAGCCAGTTAATTCATTCCTGTACTCATACCACCTGTACCAGTGGGATCTACCCAGGGCAACACAGGTCACTGACACTCTCAGCCAGGTGTAGTAGCCCCCCAAACTGTACTGACCTTTGATCAGTGAGTGCTGGTTCTCAAGATACTGAATGCTGATCACACAACCTTTCTCACTGGTTTGAACTAAGTACATACATGGTTTAGAAACCAGGTGGATTTCTTGACAAAACTCAAGTCTTAGACAGAAAAATGCACAAAACAAAACAAAAAAAACCCCTCAAATCTTAGTTCAACTATATTCTTTCAGGTGACTTTCATTCGCTCTAACAGGAAATGTTTGCTTTTAAACTCTATCCCCTGTTAAACACATGTCATGCAATGGGCATAAGAGTGCTGCCCTGCTCTCCAATAGCAGGAGGTTTGTCACCTCTGTGGGCCTTGGCTGTGCTCACTGCTCCCAAGAATGAGCCAAGTTACACAGAAATCTCAGGACATCAGGGTAGCACCCGGGCATCAGTTTCTGCAGGGGTGACCCTGTGTGCTCTATTTTCCCCCACGGTCTCCATCTTCTGTGCTTTTGTCAGCTGTTTCTCCTGGGGGCTGTCAATGCTTCTATGACTTGCCATCCCTCTTGGTCTCAGATAATTAGTAATGCTGTGTCTACCATGGAAGTAAAAGGGCTCTTGTGACTCCTTGGAGAGGACATGGAATCAGCAGCAAGGGCTCCAGGCCATGGGTGTGGCAACATCCAACCCTGCTGTCCTCCTGGATTCTGTATGGGGCTCATTCTGGGCTCCTGGCTTTGTGCCAAAGAGACTCCTGCTAAGTTAAGCTGCTGCTTTAAAGCAAACATTCACCTCTTTAGGTGAGGTGTCTTATTCATAGAACCTGAGAAGCCAATCTGTTCATCACACCACACCGTCTCCTATGGAATGCCATCATCACCCCTGCGTACTGCATGTGATGCCCAGCAGGGGCCATTACCTAGCAGGTCTTGCACAACAACCCCTCTCTCTGCCTCAGTTTCTCTTAGTCCCAGCAGATCCTAGCTAGGGAACTTCCAGGCGCACCTGTCTTTGCAGCCACACTGTTCATCCTGTGTGGGGTTGGGGCAGTGTTTCCCTGCTTGATTTCTTTTTTTCCTTTTCAGTGCTAGGAATTGAACCCAGGGCCTCAAATACGCTAGGCAAGTGCTTTACCACACGAGCCATGCCCCTAATCCTTTTGTTTTGTATTTTATTTTTCAGACAGGTCTTGCTTATTTTGCCTGGACTGGACTTGAACTCATGACCCTCCTACCTCCATGTTCCGAATAGCTGGGATTACAGATGTGTACCACCACTCCCAGTTCCTTGTTTGATTTTCCCTTTTGCTGATGCCTAGCCTTTTTGGACACATTCCCAAAAATGGGATGATTTATTTGGGGACCATTATAATAAAACAATAATAATAAAAAAATGTCACCTGACCCTTTTGTTAAATAAACCTATAAAGTAACTTACAATTACTATTTTATTTGCAGTAGTTTTTATAAATGAGGAAACAGGGCTGGAGAGGTAAAGAAACTTGTTAACAGAAAAGCCAAATGCTAAGTTTGGGTTTTTTCAGCTACAAAATCATACAGCCATTTTCTTCCTTTTTGCAGTGCTAGGAACCAAACCCAGGGCCTTGAGCATGCTAGGCAAGGCAAGTGCTCTCCTGAACTACACACTAGCCATGTGCATCCTTTCTTTTAAGCTGAGAAAACTGGCAGGCCACTTCCCCTCGCTGTGCTTGCTGGGGGTTGCTGGCTTTATCTTATAGGATATTAATGGGAACACAAGATTACATAAAGTGCCACATGTTTTGTTACCACAGGACTTCTCAGAGTGTGTAACATGCTAATGTGAGATTCTGAGAGGGGCATTTCAGCAGCCACAGTTTACAAATTTGCTTGTTTATTTTGTGATGCTGGGGATTGAAACTAGGGCCATCGTGCATTCTGGGAGCTCTTTACCACCAAGCTGCACCCTCGTCTGCTCAGGTATCATTAAGATTAAGTAAATTTTTAAAAATGAGCACCTCAGGAGAGCAGCTGGACAGGGGTAACTTATAATATTTTATCACAGCAGGGTATCCATGGTTGACAATAATTAATTGTATATTTCAAAACAACTAGTAGGAAGCATGTTTTTTTTTTTTTTGAGACAGGTTCTTACTATGTAGCCCAGGCTGGCCTTAATCTTTCAATCTTCCTGCCTCAGCCTCCTACTTGCCTCAGCAAGTAAGAAAGCATTTTGAATATTCCCAACACAAAGAAGCAATACATGTCTCAGATGATGGATAGGCCAGTTCCTTTGCTCTCATTATCACATACTGCATACATGTATTGGAACATGTGCAATTTTTACATTAATTAAAAGCTTTAAAAATATTTAAAAGGCCACCTCAGCATTACACACTATGGAGAATGTTCGGTGAGACTTGTGTATTTCAGGACCAGTTACCTCTCCTCTGCAACAGCCCAAAAGGTACAAGTGAGCTCTGGCTGCAGGCCATCTGTGCTTAGAAATTCACCATGAGCCTGTATTTTTAAAGAGAACCTGCTGCTGGTGCAGGGTACAAAAGAGGACTTACCAGTTGGGGGTTAGTGGAGGAGACCGGGAAGGCAGGCTCTTGGTTTCCAGATGCTCCACCGATAGGGACCTCCGCATGGCTGGGTTCCACACCATACCACCAATCACCTTTCTGCAATACTGGCTGTTTATAGACCTGAAAAACCAGATGCAGGGTCACTTTCTATGTCGGCATGTCCAACAGCAAAGAAGGTACAGCACGTGTGAAACAATCTCCCCAGCTCCTTCACCGACAACTGCTCAACACTTCAGTGTCATCAACCCAGGTTAAAAGGAGGCAGATTGGTCTCAAGAGAGTCCCTCCTGCTCTGGCTTTTTCTTGTATTTTTTCTTCTCTTTTGGTGAAAATGCTTTCATGTCTCAACTACTTTAAGTGACCAAATTGTTTCCAGAGTGTAACCACAACTTACCAGGTTGGAAGGAATTAGACAGCATAGAAATACAGTGTAAATAACCTCAAGGGACTCTAATTTTACTTGCAGTAACATGAGTAAAAATACTAGCCACTCCTCCAGATGCACTCTGTGACTCTGGTTGGCAAAAGCTGTCCGCATAAATCCCTGGTAACTCCTTGACAGAGAACCTGAGAATATTCTTAGAAAGTAGTTTCCGATCGTGTTCTTTGAATGTGACCTGAAGGTTACTTCTGAATTTTGTTCCCATCTAGAGAATTCGAATCTTGGAAAATGAATTATCCAAGGTACAGCAAGCCCACTTTATTCACTCATTTATTACATGCAGTTTTGACCAAGTGTGGTTAAAAAAAAAACTTAAAAAAAAGAAAGTTCAATAACAAATTTCAAATTCTCATGCACAAAATCTGCAGCTCAATTGATGTGAAAAAGTTCTGTCAGTTCTGCATTATCTTCAGATGTGTTTCACCATGTGATCTGTTGAGTGTTTCTGTGCCCTTAACTTTGTGGAAATCTGCCTCCCAAAAACCAAATGGTGCCTAGAAAGCAAGGTAAAAGTTATGGCAATCCTCCCCAAGGCAAACGGCACGTAAAGTGATAAAGTGAAAATTTTAGGTCGGCGGCACATCTTTAGTGAAGTTACAGTGTTGTGGGGAAAATGAACCAAGCATCTGCAGTACAGTGGTGAACTCCAAGCATCCCGAGCATGCTCAGTTCTTCCTCAACGTTGGGCTCCTTAGAACTATAGACACCCCCTCCCTAAACCGAGGGCCTACTGTGTTACAGAATAGTTTGAAACATGTTAGGGGTAACACCTTCAGTTATGGCATTTCAAATTTTATACCATGGCCTAATGCTTTATGAAAACATTCTACATATTTCCTTGTGGCCTAAAATCAACCAACCAAAAAACCAACTAGAACAAAACAAAGAACAAATAAAACTAAACTCTCCCTAAAATACCCTGTACTAATTTATAATGACTGCCACTGTCCCCTGATCAAAGCACTCGCAGTGGCATCCTCCAAGGTCAGTCTACATCAGAAACCACATGACCACTGATTAACAGCATTAAGATTAAAATAAAGGGAGAAAGCTGCATGATTCCAAGGTTTAATGTAGTAGATCCCCCAAAGCATGTGACACAGGTTATTAATAGGGACACTTAAGTAGTGTACATTATTGGAAAATAATGTACCAATTCCTTTTACACAGAGCCTTTCAGAGGGCCCAATTTGGAAATGTACAAGGTACCTCTAGGGGTAGATAAATCCCCTAACTTCTCGAAGCCTCAGTTTTCTCATCTGTGAAAACAATGGAGGTGAAGCTGATACTGGCAGTGAAGGATTGCTGACTTGTGCCCCCAACATTTTCTCCACATTCTAAGTAAGTTCCTGGGGAGGATTAAAGATGGCTCCTAGTTCTTTGACTCTTGGCTCCAGGCTTCTTTGACTGTTCAGGGCCTTTTCCTTAGGGGAGCAGCTAGTTCTGCTTTCGGCTCTTGAGCCCTGAGCCTCTGGAGAAGATATTCGATCCCCCTGTAGCACAGCCACTGTGGCTGAAAGAACCAGGTAAGTCCAGCCCTCCCCTGATTCCTCTAAGACATCAGTCCAGCTCCCAACTGTGTATCCTGAAATCCCTGTCTATTCTGCATGGAGCAGAAGTCACCAGCCCAAGACCTTCCTGAATTCTTGACCCACAACATCTTGAGATAAAATAGAATGGTGTTGCTTTGAGCCACCAAAATAGGGGTTGTTTATTAAGTAATGGGAGATGACCAGAACCTAGCCCCCTGGCCTGGCTGCCAAGAGGGAAGTTTGCAGATGAGGAAACTGAGGCAGCAAACTAAAACTCAAGTGAGAGAGAGGATTTCAACCATGCTGCTCAGCACCCCACGACATGCATTCAATCCCTCTTGGTGTCACCTCCCACTTGGTTTGGAGGATTAGCTCCAACCTAAGTCAAAACTAATTACATGGCTGGCAGCGTGGTTCAATGGTAGAAATGGTAGAGCCCCTGCCTAGCAAGTGCAAGGCCCTGAGCTCAACTCCAATACCACCAAAAAAAAAAAAAAAAAGACACACAGAAAAAATTACATTCCACTAAATTCTTATTTGGAAGAAAACTGCTTCATTTAAGTTAACTACTGAGTGCAGAAAAGTGCTATAAAGGTTGGGTTAAGGATGTCCAGCCCATCTCACACAGTGACATCACCTCCTTCTGTTGTCATCCTGAATCAAGGAGACCATGAGTAACAGAGGAGAGGTCACTATTGGCTTTACACTTGATGCTTTCTCTCTCATTTTTATACTACAGCAATCTGGTCACAGAACTGATCTTCTATTTCTTCAATCTGAATGTTTTTTTGGCAGTACTGGGGTTTTGAACTTAGAGTTCTACCACTTGAACAATGGCTCCAGCCCTTTGTTAGTTATTTTTCAGAGGGGTCTTGTACTTTTTGCCTGGACTTGCCTCTGACTATGATGTTCCTACCTATGTCTTCTGCATACCTGGCATTATGGCTTGGTTTTGAGATAGGGTCTTGCTAACATTTTTGCCTGGGTTGTCCCTGAACTGAGATCCTCCTTGTCTCTACCTCCTAAGTAGCTGCAATTACAGGTGTGAGCCACCAAGCTGAGCTCAGTCTGAACTTCTTGATTAGAAGAATATGTTTGCAAGTCTGCAGTCTCAGCACCTTCACTGCCACCTGCAGACGTTAGGGTCAACTTGGTTCTGGGCACACTTTCCAAACTGTTTTATCTCTTAGAAGGGCCACCAAACTGCTGTTGCTGCTGCTGTGTTGACTGGGATCCTGAGGCTCCTGGTGAGTGATGAGTGATGTCGGGCCTGGAAGGCTCAGCATTACTTCCACACTGAAGCCCCAGTGATGGCACGGCTCAGTGTGTGCCCACCAAAGAGCCCACAGCTGCACCAGCTGCAGTGGTTATCATCTGGGCCACTGGAACTGATGGCAGAGCTGCTGCTGGTGGGAGCTGCTGGTACTGGCCTGGACGCAGCTCTCATATGAGGGGCCTGGTTGGCCAGACGGGCCAAGCGGGATGTCCACGGTGCCTCTAAAAATGCCTCCAATAAATTATTCTCATGACTTTTCTGATTGCAGAAAAGTATTTGACTTAAAAAAAAACTTTAAACATATTTGCTCTTGGTTTATCAGAAGCTGAGCAGTAGCAATGATACGAATCTGTCAGTTACCTAATGACTTCCATGTAATAGGGAAGTCAGTGGAATGGCTCAGACACAAGCCTCATTTAGCAACAGCTACATTGGTGACAACGAATCACAAAAATAAATTTGAAAAACCATCAAACGGTTTAGAAATTCTAAGAATAACTTGATAAACAATTTCTGCTGCCCTCATACTTAGAAGGCAGTCTTAGAACAAACAACACAAAAAATATAAGCTGCATTGTAGTTATTTAGAGAGTAAAAACTTAGATTAACAAAATTTAAATCTAAGTTAAAATTTTTAACTGTACATAGGAATTACATAGAAATTTCTCTTACTGTCTTAGTCATTAAATATGCTAAATATTTGAATGATTTCCTATGGATAATAGTACATACAGGATAGTTATAAGAATTCAACAAAATTAAGCATGTACCTAGCACAAAATAAACACTGGGGAATTGTTAATTTAAATTACTAATAATTCATAATGATTATGGGCAACATATCCCAAAGTCACTTGACTTTGGAAACCTTTATTTCTATCCATTCATTCATTTTTATGGAGTATCTTATGGGACTAATGTGTGGGAAAGGCTGGCTTAATGGCTTCAGGCTGGGAAAAGCCCACTCTGCTGGCTCCAAGATGACAGGGTGTAGGGCCGATTCCAACTTCTGGCTGTTCGGGTGCTCTGAGAACAGAGCCAAGGGGCAGAAACAAATATTTTGAGTGTGAGACATACCTGAGTATGTGTGAAAGGGACACTGCTGTCCCCAGAGAGACTTTCAGCCATGGTTTCAGGGATCCTACATCTAGGGGCTGTGGGTCACAGTGTTCCCTCCTTTGCCCAAGTGGTGACCAGTACATGCTGGCATCTCAGTCTCAGTGTGGACAACTGTTCTAATGCATACTCACTTTTTGGGGTTCCTGGAGCCCAGAGTCCAGTACTGAGACAGAACATTCTTTTCCTGAGGTAGTAATTTCTTTGCCTGAAAGAACGAATGGTGCTCAACACAGGATTTCCACAAGTTTTTGCAAGATCGATAGTTTAGCATGTTGAAGGCCACGATATGTTCCCTGGATTCGGTCTGAGAGGAAAAACAGTAAAGATTTCATTGTGAGGATGCAGGATAAAGGTCCTGAAGCATGCTACCCACACTGGTGAAAAGAAGGGAAGCAGCAACAGGCATCAGAAAGCAGGCTTCCAGATGCCATAGTTCCAACCCAGTGTCCCAGAACTATGGCTGAGCAGGACTGTCGACCCCCTATAAATGTGGGATAAAGAGGACCCGAACCTGTTCCTTCTTATCACTCGTGGTCCTTCACCAACCCCCTTGTTTCACATCTGCTCAAGATACATTCTTTCACCTACTGGACAACAGCAATTTTATAAACCTGGAGATTTTTCCATTTGCTTTCCCAGAGCGAAAGCCAGTGCTTACTGGCTTTGCCTTCATTCTAGGTGGGTTTAGGTTTTCTGATTTCTCATGTATTTTGGTTCCACCCTGACTCTTGCACTGGGGGGAATCAGGCGACCCAGATTCCAGTCCTCTCTTGCTCTGAACCTTACTGTTCCCATTTCTAAGGGTTCTCTGCTATGTGGGTCATTTTAGGACATATTATCTCTGAAAAATTGAGAAACAGACATAGTGACGGTAAGTGACAAATACATGGCACAGCAAGACAGGGCGTAGAGTGGAAAGAGCAGGCATCTTGGATTTGTAATGATGGGTTCAAATCCCACTTCCCTAACTTGCTAGCTGTGGGAGCCTCAGTTTCCCCATCTCTGGTTCCATTTTGTTCTGTGACTAAGCAAATTCTATTATCTATAGCACTGTCAACTCTTTCTTCCAAGACAGACACAAGCCATCATGCGTGAAACACATCAAAGGAAGGGTCTAGTTTTCTCGCTCATTTGCGGTTGCTGGTTGCTCTTTATTTAATCTACACCTGAGAAGTGGGCATTGCCGAATTTCTGGAAACAAGGTAACTCAGACTAGAGATTCGATAACCTGCCAGAGAGTAAGGGGAAGAGCCAGGATCTCGACCCATCATCTCAATCTCCAACCAGAGAAGTACAGTGCTTACTAGGTCAAGGACCCTGGGGTACCACTGTGCCATGCTTTCATTCCTGTTAATTAGAAGGCAAACCACCTCCATCCCCTTAAGAACTAGGAGCTGAAGTAACCTCAAAACACAGGGAACAAAGCAAGCACAGACAAAACTCACCTGTTTTTGTCGCTGGTGTATAAAGAACTTTTTCCTTTTGAAAGAGATTTTGAGAATATTCACCCTATAAAAAACAAGACAAAACACAAAAAACAAAATACAAATCAAACATAAGCATCAGAGCTCAGCCAGGTTGGAGCTGATCCCCTTTTACAATGTGTCTTCTACTCCATGATCCGATGGCTGGCAGCTCAGCTCCCCGGAGGGTACTTCATCATGGAAACGACAGCAGCCTCATGGCCTTGCCGAACACCACGGAGCTGACTGAGCTAGCTGGGTCTCACATAGGACCTCTGGATTGAGATGTAGCTTTTAAATAAGAAGAAGCATGGACCACGCACTCTCTGTTGTAAGCTTCTTTTGTGATACTGTAGCTCTGTGGGAGCTGGTGACCACGTGGGTAAGACAGCTGAGGGCAGTACAAGGGAGGACAGGCTTTGGTCACACCCTAGCTCCATTACCTAACAACGTGCGGAGGAGCCTCTTTTATTTATTTATTTATTTATTTTTCTGTACTGGGGACTGAACTCAGGTCCTCGAGCTTGCTAGGCAAGTGCTCTACCACTTGAGCCATGTCTCCAGCTCTTGCATTTTAGTTTGTTTTCAGATAGGGTCTTACTTTTGCCTGGACTGGCCTTGTACCTTGATCCTCCTACCTCTGCCTCCTGAGCAGCTGAGATTACAGGTATGTACCATGATGCCCAGTTTGTTTTTGAGATAGGCGTTTCTCTAACTTTTGCCTAGGCTGGTCTCAGGTCATCCCTCTGCTTCCCAAGCAGTAGGGATTATATGAGTACTCCAGCATGCCTGGCTTCAATCAGGTGCATAACAGTGTTAAAGCCACCAATTACAGAGCACACATGCTCTCTCCTCTCTCTCTCTCGCCATATATATGTAAGGTTATTTATTTATTTTTTTTCTTTTTGCATTGCTGGAGATCAAACCCAGGGCCTTGAGCATGCTAGGCAAGTGCTTTGCCACTGAGATATATCCCCAACCCCTACAGTGTATTTTTACGTACTGGGCCACAAGAAAAGCTTCGCAAACATCCTCTCCATTAAGTCTTGCAGCAGTCCTGACAATTATTATTGTCATGCTGTACCCAGTTTTCGGATGGGGCAACTGAGGCTCAGAGACACCACTGCCTAGGATTGGCTTAGGGGTCACCTGACTCCAGAGTCTGCGCTCTTAGACCCTACACTATGAAGTGTGCTGAATGGTGATGTAACACTGCCTTTCTCACAAAGTAGTCCTGTGAGGAGCTGGAAGATTAAGCACATTCGGTCCCCAGTACAATGCCTGACATGCAGCTGGCCCTCAATGCCTGTTCCTTTCATCAAAATCAGTTAACGACTTCACTTTTAAAATCAATCTCATTCACTTACACCAACCTACTGTAATCCATACAAGGGAGGCTTAGCTACCCACTGGTCTTTACTTCTGCAATACTTTGAAGGAAGAAAGGAATTCCATTCTTCTGTAGGATCATATTTGGTAGAACATTCAGGAACAGAGAGGCTGGACAGGTATAATGGAAGTTTATTCATGTGACATTTCCCCAGTTGGATTAGCAACATATATGGTACACCTACAATACATATTAAATATTAAATACCTAAATTAAACAGATGTTTAATTAAACATGCCGTTGTGCCTGACAAGTGAACTTCTGGGGTGATTGCAAGCTAGCCATTTCAAGACAAAGAAGGGTACCAGTCTCAACCCTCTTGAGATACTCTTCCTGGTGTGTGTTGCACCCCACCCGGCCAGCTCCCTGAGGTAGGGTGGGTCTCCTTGCTGCTCCTGAGCTACAGGGCAGACGTGGAACCAAACTCACCAGTTTCTGAGCACTTACCCTAGCCTTGCTCAGCCCATGGGATACTGTGGACTCCTTGTTCCCAATGGTTCCACACATGGGGCTCCTGATTCAGGGGGCTCCAGCTCAGTGCTTGCTACCTCTCCTTCCTGCTGGCCCCCATTTCTGTACATGGTAGTGTTCTTTCTCTCCCAGAGTAAATGTGATGACTTGCAGGTGAGATCTGTTTTGAGCCCAAGGCCCTACAGGGAACCCCTGCTTGCCCTCATTTATTCATGCTTAGTGTCCACATGTACCAAGTACTGTGCTAGGCCTGGGGACAGAGGGAAGGAGAAAATAGGCACTGCCTTCTGAATAGTGTGATTATAATCTAATGAGGGAGACAGGCATCAAATAAATAATGAACTGTGTGACCACTGCACGCAGGAGAGGTTAGCATTTCCTCAGAGCACTAAGGATGGAGTCTTGGCTCCATGGCTGGGAGGCACTGACTAACCAGGCCTCTCTCCTGCCACTCCCCACGCCCACACCATGTTCCAGCCTGACCTACCACCTGCCCTTTATTCACTACTGTGTTCACACTTGTCTCTTGACTTACACTCACTCTAGAATGATTCCTTTGGGCCAAAGCCCTTCCTATTTAGTGGTCTAGAGCTCACTTTGCAGGCTCTGATCCTGCCCTGTGCACCTGACTTAAAACTCTGGGGTCACTATTGGGGCTGGCCTCCCTACTGGTCTTTGGGGTTTGCACCAGAGGCAGGACCAGGCCTTGACAGGAGCTGGCTGAGTTGAAGGGTGCAGAAGATACGGGGGCAGGAGGGTCAGAGTCCCTGTAGGTTCTGCCAAAAAGGCTTTTCTGTTTGTAACTCTGCCTCCTAGGGCCGAGTTTCCTCCTTCTCTTTTCAAGTGTCCTTATGGGACTCACATCTTCCCTGAAATGTGACATTGTAGCCCTAGTCTGTGGGGCCTTTGCAGATTCAGTCACAGACAAAGCTGAAGCCAGGTGGTTCTGGCCTGTGGCATGTGCAGAAAGCCCCCAGCAGTTGGAGGTGCCTGAAAAGGAAAAATGAGGCCGTCCCCACTGCCTGGCCCTAGACCTGAATAGGCCTGAGAGTCGCCCAGGCCACATCTCAGCAAGCCAAGCCGAGGCTGAGGTTTCATGCTTCCTGTGAGGGACTTTCAAAGAGACAAAAGTGAAAGAGGGAGAGAAGAACCTGTTACCTGTCCTACTGATTTTATTGTGAAAGTGAACAGGGCTACAACATGCTATTAGTTTCAAAAACAGACATATTGATAACTGAGAAATCAGTATCCTAGTCAAGCGCTTTATCACAAATAGACTTTCTCACGGTAGAACAAACGTGTAAGTGTTGGAGTTCAACAAACTGGGTATGAATTTCAAGTAAGTGAATTTTGGGTGGTATGATGCTGGACAGGTTCTTACTTAACTTCTTTGTTCCTCAGTTTTCTCCTCTGAGAAATGGGATAGTAATGGTGTCTGTCTTAGGTTAAAATGAGATAAATCAAATAAAATATGTAGTAATGTGCTGTGGATACCAAAGGACTCGATAATGCAGCTGCTATTATGATAATTACCTCTGATTTAATTTATTTATAGCTTTTTTGTTCTATCATAAACAGAGCTGTGGTGAACACACTTGTTTCCAATTCATCAAGTTCTCTGTTGCCAAGCTGAGGAACAGACTTAGACCATAGGTTAAATTTGCCACGGCACAAATCTGTCACAAATCTTCTCTTAGGCCTCTTTTCTTTACATGTGGAAACTTCGGCATCTCCTAGAGCTGGCGGCACTCATTCTCCTTAACCTACCCCATCCCTGTCCTGCACACCCTCACAAAGTCACTTATAAGCACCACTTTTGGTGGTGCTTCCCTGAAAAAAGCTCTATGGCCTGGCACAGTCAACTCAAAATCTCTCCAAAAACCAGTTCAACTCACTAATACGGCAGTCCTCCTCACCTGTGGTTTTTGCTTGGTTTCAGTTACCCATGGTCTACTACAATCTGAAAATTGAATATTTGCCTTGATTCTTTCAAGAAAGTTCCCATTTATCTAACTTTCATTACAGTATATTGATATAATTGTTCTATTTTATCATTAGTTATGATTGTTAATTTCTTACTAGACCTAGTTATAAACTAAAGCTTATCATAGGTCTATATGTTTAGGAAAAGACAATATACACAGGGTTTGGTACTCTGCAGTTCCAGGGCCCCTGGAGTCTGGAAATGTTCTCCTGCAGATAGTGGGGGACACGAAGCATTTCTTAACTCTTAAGAGCTGACTCATGTCATTTATCTGCCAGGTTTCCATCAAGTATTCCAAGCTAAAAAGGATGATGGGAAGAGAGGGAATGCTAATGAAAACCAAACTAATTTTCCTAAGAACTGCATCTGGATCAAACTCAGGTCAGAGGTTAAAGCTGGGGGGAAGATCTCTACCCCTTCTTTAGAAATAAAAGTTTAAAATTAGAGGTAACATTACTTTTGTTCAGCATATTTTTAAAGTATGATTCAGACAATAATTAGAACTGTTTGCACTTACCAAGGATAGAAACTTGTGCAAATGTATTTTCGGTATACAGCGATGCCCGCAGCAGCAATTCCAATCATTAGATCTAAATTGTGCAGATCCTGTAAAAAAGGAGGCTCTCAGACTCACAGTCTGTGACAGTCATGCTTATGCCCTCCGGCAACTTTAAAGCACCCACAACGCTTATAAATAGAAGTATGTATAAGCTCCAAAGCGGAAAATGTTACTGAACACAGAGATCCAAGCACTCAACACCTAATTCTTCTAAAGTGAGCACACACGTGTGTGCACACACGGCCTAGCACAACTCTTGGCTTAGGAAGCTACCAGGTAAGACTACTAATCCCACTGAATCACTTACATAGACATTCAGTTTTTCATTTTTAATAATTAGCATTTTATAGCCACATTAAAACCAGAAAGGCTTCCCTGAATAGCTTTGTACAAATCTCAACTTCCATTACTAAAAAAGGTGTTAGCTAGTACGATGTGATGATGAAAAATTACAAATGTAGAACTGACTCTAAATCCAGTTAAGAAATAAATGTTGCTTATAAGTCCAACATCCTGGACATTTACTAAGGGCCTATGTGTGAGGCACTGCCGTAAACAAATGAAGTCACAGGAGAAAAACACAAAGACTTAAGCTGTTTTAGATGCACTTGAGTATAAGCAAATAAAATTTAAAACTACAACACTTCTTTCCCTTGAGTCACACAGGTTCCTGTTTCCAATCAGATACTTGTGATTACAAAGACAGGGCAGAGTTTAAGGTGGTTACCACTGAATGTGAGCCTTTGGTCTGCCATTTATCAGGTATGTCATTTTGGGCTCAGAAAAGCCTCAAGTTTTCTTTTTGCATAGTAAAGATTATACCTCACAGGTTTTTATCAGGCTGAAATTAAAGAATGTAAGAAAGAACCTAGAACAGGGTCAGCACATGAAGCTCTAGAACAGGGTTTGGTGTATAATAAATATAATAAATGTTCATTCTCTTTTGCTGTGGGCACATCATCTATGAGTAGCAATAGGAACAAGGGGAGCTGGAGAAACTGGACAGGGAAGCAGTGCTGATATGGTGGAAAAGTCCAGAGTATTCACGGTAAGAACCCAAGTGAAATCATGTGCTTAAGTAAATCCTACACAGTGAACAGCAGAATTGCCTTTAAATGTGACACCTGTGATCACAATACAGGAAGGAGAACAAATCAGCAAATGAAACCCAAACTGAGTGGATACAGAAATAAATGGGTGGTCTGGTGGGTCAAGGACTGGCTCTCAAACTGTCGGTTCTATGGTCTTTCAGTGTGTACCTTCATCCCACCACCACAGACAGTTATGCTAAATTAATTCCCATACCACCCCCACATCCCAGCTCCCCTTGCAGAAGAAGGGCCTGTGGCTAGTTGTGGCCAATGTGCTCTGAGCAGAAGCGATATGTCTCTTCTGGGCTGAAGCACTGAAGAGCTGGTCTGTAACCCTTGCTGTGACAAGGAAGCCACTTGGAAAGACTGAAAATTCAGACAAGCAGTTGGACTGTCAAGCTACTGCACTGCAGAGATTAGACAGGAGAGAGATACCTGGACGCAGTGTAGAATCCAAACTATAAAAAATATGGGACCAAGCCATTGATCTGGGGATTTAGCTCACAGAGCACAGCCTAGCATAAAGCAAACCACTCTGATACTTTGGGGGTCTCAATCAGGCGGCTCATCTTCCCTCCCTCGTCCTTCCTCCCTCCCTTTTTCCTTCTTTCCTCCCTCCCTTCCTTCCTCTCTCTCTTCCTTCCTCCCTCCCTCCCTTCCTCTCTCTCACTTCCTTCCTTCCTTCCTTCCCCTTCCTCCTTCCATTCCTCCGTCCCTTCCATTCTGGGGGTGGGGAAGGTCAACTCAGACAGATATAAAGTCACATTTTGCCAACTGTGAATAAGGTTCTCCAAAACATTCTTCCAAGGACAAAAAATTTGCAAATGGAATAAAAATTAACCGTTAAGTTCCAAAGTTGTTATTTTATAAGATCTAGTATCTTTTCCCTGCTTTATTACCTACATTATACCTTGCTCACCTCACAGGACTGTTATGGGACTGAAGTGACACACATAAATGAAATTGTTTTTATATAAATTGTGGATATAGTATATAGATTTAAAGTCTGGTCTTTTACTCAACTTCCATGAGTTGCAGCTTTCTCATCTGTAAATGAGGATAATTAGAATATCAATTTGATGAGGCTCCTATAAAGGCCTCTGGAACATAGGCCAGCACATAGCTGGTGCTCAATTAATATTTGCTTCCTTTTGCATATGATATGGCTGATGACAGAGAGAAAATATCAGTGCTGAAAGGTCAGACACGATTAGACAATGCTGGGACAGTACTTATGTGCTGTGTGACCTCTGTGTAGTCCCCGAGTATCACTTTCTCAATCTGTAAAGTGGGAATGATGGTAATAATACCTAATTTGTGGCATTATTGAGAGAAATAAATTCAAGTCAACTGGCACAAAGAAATTTATAGATGGCAGATATTAGCCAATTCTGTTAAACGATCACAATCAATTCAAAACATTTATTGATTTTTCACAATCATGCCATAATTCTTTTAAATAAAATTATCATATTTGAGTGAGTAGGTCTAATTTGAACAGTGCTTAAGATTAAATAGTAGGGACCTTGGCTCATCAACTGTCACTTGAAAGGCAACTTAAACACATTTTCCTGTTGAATCATAGTATGGAATAGTCTTAGAAAGATTACATGTTTCTAGTCCCCTGACTCCTCAGAAGGAAAAAGCCATCCAGTACAATGGCAAGTGTAAAAAAAACAATTGGATCAATGGCCAACGAAACTCAGTATTGACAAACCTTCTGAACAGCTTTGAAAAGGTCTTGTTTGTCATAACAGATAAGAAATTCTTTCATTAAAGAAGCTATCAAACTTTCACAACAAAAATAATTTCTGAACCAAGACATGACAAGGATACATACTCTACCACCATGCAGTTCCACTCCGTAGAAGTCGAGGGTCCGTGCTATGTTGATGTAGCAAGATTCGGCTTCTGATTGCTTTAGCCCACTACAGAAGACGAGAAAATGCACAGGTCACCCAGTAAACAAACAGAGAATATTAACTCCAGCTTTTAAGAAAACCTTACCATTCCTTTAAGATTATAAAATGCCTTACATTACTACCCTTAAATAATGTAACCCTAAATTCTACCCAACAGGCTTTTCTTGTCCTCTCAGCTTGATTTCTGGCACCTTGGATTTTATTAAAAAATACTTCCAATTTAGGGAGCTTCCTATTTTAAGATGGAGAGAACTATCACCTTTTGCAATTTCTGCCCCAACTGCTCCAAGATGCCCAATTAACAGGAAATCTTTAGGTCTTTCTGCCTCTGTCTAGTCTCTTCCCAGTGGCTCCACACTTCAAACGCCACTGACCCTGTGCTATTTTAGGATGGTGACTTCTGCCAGAGGAATAATTCTGGGAGACAGGGTTGGCAGTGTCTTCTTAGAAGTTTTACTAGTTGCTTGCTCTTTGTTTTTATGGTCTTCCCAAGAAGCAAGAGGTCCCTTGAGAGCTGGCCTCCTGGGTCAGCATGGCCCTCCTTTGACATGAACTGAACAGCTGCCCCAGTAGCTGAAGTCAAGTGCAGAGAGGGAAGAGGAGGCTGGACCAGGTATGTTTGCTGGGGGCAAGACTTGAAGCAGCCGCTCCTGGGAGGGCACCCTCCATGGAAATGCAGTTTTGCAGAATGAACCCACAGACATCCAGCCTACTGGCACTTTTATATACCTGTCTGTCCACTCAACACCAGCTAAAGGGACAGCCTGTTTTATTAAATGTGGTAAACCATGACAAGGTTTAGCTGGTGGGGACAATTTGTGGGACGGTCAGATTTCACAATGCTCATTTCCTTCGGAAACGGATTTCAAGTCATCTTGAGAGGAACCCAGCAGCTCCTATTGGATTTTACATTTCACAGAAAACCTATTGATGTTAAATATATCTGCACCATCACAGCTCAAAGGTTCAAAACCTCCCGATGACTTGAAAGAGGACCATGAGCCAAAGGAAGGAGAGATGTAATGTCTGAAAATACCCGACCTCAGCTCCCAAAGTAGGCTACCCCTCACCTGTGCTGCTCATGGAGAGATTCCACCTTGGTTAAAAAGTCATCGTTTTGATCTGGTATAAACTGGCTGTCAACAAGATAGCCGGGGTGATGTATGGAAGAATCAAAGTCTCCAAAATGAGCTAATAAGACAGAATGAGAGGACAGTTAGTTTTGCCTTTTCAACGTGGTCTGTATTAACAACAGCATCCAAGGAAAACATGAATTGGAAGCCCTGTTCTGGGAAGCTCAGTGACCACATGAACTGCACTCTCATTAGCTCTGGATTCCATGCTTTCATTCTGAGCCCTCATGAGGGGTGAGGCAGGGCTGCTACAATCACACATGACCCAACCCAACTGCCACTCTCCCGAAGGGCACAGAGGAAATGGGGACAGTTTGGAACACAGGTCTTGGTCTGACCCCATGTCCTCTCACACTCTGCAGCAGGCACTGGAGTTTGTACTCATGCCCCTGGATAAGGATAACGAGGAGATCCCACCAGGAAATATGCTGTGCTCTGTATGCTAGTCTCTGTGCAGGTTCTGTCACACTTCTTAGTAACACTGGATCAAGTGGCTCTAAAAAAAGTGGCCACGGGCGGAAGGGAGGCAATGCCAACCTGTCCTGCCCCCTGGGATTCAGGCAGGTATGGAAGGGGAGCAGGATATGCTTAGAGGCCATAGGGATGAGGGATGTTAAGGGGTGGGGTTAAAAAGTTAGGGCCCAGGCCAGACCAGTGGCAAGGTTTCAAGGGAGAAAGACACCCTTTATTTTAGGTTTTTTGAGACAGGGTCTTGCTATGTAGGCTATGTAGGATGGCCTGGAACTTTCAATTCTCCTGTCGCAATTTCCGAGAGTTGGGATTACAGGCTTATACCACTGCACCCAGGCTGAGGATGCATTCTAAGAGGAGTCAAAAGAGAGGAGACAGAAAACTATCAGGGGAACTGTGTTGTGGGCATGTAGGTGCAGAGGAAAGAGGGAGGGAGCTCTATGGAAGGATTTCCATAGTATCCTTGACTCAAATTGTACCCTCTCCCTGACTGCTTGCTGTCTGTGGACACAAATTGTTGACATTTATGATGTGATGGGTATTCTTGAGAGTTGTGCAGTGTACAACATGCACAAGTACACATGGCTGCCCTAGGGACTCAATCTGGGGTCTGGACTGGTGAAGAGACTGTGAAAAGGACTCCAGGAGGGGCATTCCATATGTACAGAAACAGGAGTGAGCTCTTGAACTTTGATGGGCAACTGATCTTACATTCTATATTCTCAACAAAACAAAAATAATCTTTTTCTTAAAAGTTTTAACCCTTATCTTTCCAAGGTTCTAATGAATTTCTTCCTGCACCTGGTTTCAATGCCAGGAGGCTTCCAAGGACCCTCAAGGTCTCCAATACAACACAGATTTCCACATCAAACAGCTCCTTCTCAGTCATAAGGATAGACTGCGGGAACAGCTGTGGGGGCACTTCATGGCTAGGAGGAAAAGTGTAAGGCATGTGGTGACTTAGGTGGATGTCATCACAAAGGTGAAAGGTTGGGTCCAAGGTTGTGTCTTTTTTTACACCTTCTCAGCCTTGTTCACCCTCACATGGCCTTCTGCCTCCCACCAGCTCTTTCAGACTCACACTGTGACAGAAGTTTTTTTTTTTTAAACTTAGTCTCTTGAGGGCTGGGAATGGGTCAAACTCACCTGTAATGCCAACACCACACATGGCACACAAGGCCTCAGGGATTTGGGGCCTTGGACCTGACCTGAACAGAAGCTAATGTAAAGTTCCGTTTTGGAAGGGGAAAGAGCAAGAAGTCAAGTGATTTACATAGACTTGGTCAAGGTCAGACCACAGGTTATTAAGGTCAGCCAAATGTGGATGGGAATGTCAAGGCTGTATGATGTAAGCCCAAGTGTGGCAGCTGAGTTTGTGTGTGGCTCAGTGTATAATAGTGTATATATGGGAAATGATGGGTGTTTCCTGACACAGGCAGGGGGGCCCAGTGAGAAAGTATTAGAATTATCTCATTCAAACTCAAATTAAAAGGGCAGAAACTGAGGTCCAGAGAGAAGGGACTTACCCCTATCACAGGACCATTTTTCAACAGGGTCATGACCAGACCTAGGTGATCTAAGCTCATGTTAGTCCCCCACTACTCCACCAGTCTCCCTGCCAGTCCAGTGGGCTCTCCATCCTTTGCTGATGTCCCCAAAGGTCAACCAGATGCTGCGAATGGCTTTCCTGAGCTTGAAGGCAGAATCCTATTTAATTTTCCTTTGCTTGTTTCATTAGTTCATGGACATCCTCCTGGATCCTTATTTTCATTCATCCTATCAGATAGCAGGCCCAAATCCACTGCCATTCTGAAGAACCCCAGGCTTCTTGCTTTTCCAGTCACTGACAAATATTTTGAACAAAACATTCAACCAAAGAACCTTCCTATTAGGTAATTTTCCTTTGAAATCTTAAACAGCAATTCTGTTGCAAGGCTCTGTGCTGGCCACTAGGGGGAAACAGTTTAACAGCCACACAGTGTTTGCAACACTGGGCCTTTTCCACAGATTTCAATGTCATCCTACTTGATGCATAAGATAACCCTCTGATGGGCAATGCTTTCATCCCCATAAAACAGATAAGGGAACTGAGATAAAGAAGGGACCTTCCACTGCTGCTCAGCTGCTAACTGGGAGCCTAGACTCTTACTACAGTCCTTACTCTCACCTACCGAACACACCACATGCCCTAAACTCCCTAAATTCCTTCTCCTGCTGGAGAAGTCCTTTACCTGCTATTCTTCCAACTCCAACTTGATCTCAGAGACTCTTCTTGTGGGTCATTCCTAGGATGCTTTTCTGGGCTCCCTCTCTCTCCCCCAAGCAGGATAAGGTGCATCCTTTGTGCGCATCCTCAGATCCTCGCCTGCCTCCCTACCAGGGTAGAGATACCTTTGAAATTGAAAGTTTCTCTATCCTGAGGCTGGTGCAGAGCCTTGACAAGGACATTGTGGAATAACTATGTCTTTCCAAAAACTTCATTCTTTGTGCTTCATAAACTCTTGACAGGCCACCAGCAATCTTCTGCCACCACATCTTGTGGGTACTTTAGCTGCAGAACATTGTATATTTTATCTAATATGATGAAAATATGTTCTGGTTAGCTGATCACTGGTAGGACTTAAATATCAGGCACCCATCTCAGGACAAAATAAACCAGATAAAATGTAGGCACACCTTCTGATCCAGTAATTTTCTACTTATGCAGTATACACACACACACACACACACACACACACACACACACACACACCTGCTTGCCTGACAACCCATGACTTTATTAGCATGACAGTAATGCTAATTTTCCCATAGGAGTCAGTTTGTTCTTCTTAGGTGTTAGCAACTTCCTTTAGCCTCAGTTTTATCAGTCTTTTGCAGAAGATAATCTGACTGCAGGAGCTTGGAAGATGATGTTTTAAATGTGGTTATTAAATTTTACTCAAAATAGAGTCTGTTGCTTACAATAGGCAATTTTTTTTTCTTTTTGGTAGGACTGAGATTTGAACTTAGGGCTTCAAGCTTGCAAAGCAGGTGCTCTACCACTTGAGCCACACCTCCAGTCCATTTTGCTATGGTTATTTTGGAGATGGGGTCTTGTGAACTATTTGCCTGGGCTGGTCTCGAACTGCAATCCTCTCAAATCTCAGCCTCCCAAGTAGTTTAAGATTACTGGTGTCTGGCATAAGAGAGAACTTTTTTCTGGGCAGACAAGAAAATACATCAAGTGTTAACACTCGCCATGCACCACACACAGATCTAAGAGCTGTATGAACACTCATTCACTTTATCTTCACTATAGTCCTATGAAATAGATACTGGTATGTTCCCACTTGATGGGTGAAGAAGCTGAGGCCTGGAGAGGCTCGAGGTCATGCAGAGAGAAGCAGAAGAGCCCAGATCTGGTTATGTGGCCTCAGTCCATGTTCTTATTGACTCAGTCAGCTTACCATTACATGTATTATTTAATTTGAGCCAAGCAGGCAGACTGCATGTTGTCACAATCACTACTGTCACCTCCATTTACAGGTGAGACCTAAGTTCAGAGAGGTAATACCACGTAAGTATTCCTGTGTCTCAAGCCTGAAGCTTAGCTGTGAACACTCAACTTACTCTGCCATGTGGGAAAGCTTGGCCTCAGTTGATTGGCCTGACAAGGTGGGGTCCATGAGGTCTAGAGACCAGCAAGGGCACACACTGATTGACTGTGACATTTCCAATGTGGATGCAACATGGCTAGGTCTGTTCCAGATAAACTGTAGGGAAAGAGAATTTGCAAATCCAGGTGTATTGTAGGGAAGGGCAACTTCTTTGAGTTTCCCATTACAGAGGAGAAAAGGCCGGTAAGATGGAGAATGATGCTGGGTCTGTCTTAGTACTACAAGTAGGCTCACTATGCACTCAAAATCATGAGGTCATCCCCAGTATCCTCCTCCCCCCACTTCCTGCTTCCATGTAGGTGGACAGGTAAGCTGCTGGCCCAGTTATCTTATACTTCACCTCTTTTATTTCTGTTCTCTGCTGCTAGGAAAAGAGTTAGACTTAGGGCCACCTCAGCAGCTCCCAATAGCTTTTGAGTATCATTTTGCTTCTTCCGAGACCAAAGTAGGGTGGGTAATTTGGCCAGTGCCTGCTCTGAGGTCTGACCATCTTGCTCCTTTAACTGCTGGCCACGTTGTCAGTCAAGGGGATAATAAGCCAAGGTAATCTGGGACTTTGGGAAGGTAGAGAGGACTTCTTAAATCTTGAGGTACTACAAAGCTCTACACAGTAATATGTAGGTGCACTGTACGGGGATCACACAGCTGACTATAAAGTGTACTACACTGTGCTCTTTTTATTGTATAGACCCAGCATTTACCACAGGAACTGACATGGAATATATATATGCTCAATAATATACACCCATTCAGTCTTGCTGACTGAATGAGTGGATTCCTACTCCAGCTTAAGCCATCTTGATGGAAAATTCCATTTGGGCTCTGTATCCAATATGGTAGACACTAGCTATGTGTAGCTACCCCAAATGGATATGTGCAGGAAGTGTAAAATTCAGACAGTTTTTCAAACACTGGTATGAAAAACAAATGTAAAATATTAGTAATTTTTTGCACTGACTAATAATAAAGTAATTATGGATATGCTAGATTAAATAAAACATTAAAAGTTAACTTTGCCTGTTTCATTTTACTGTTTTTTGCTGTGTGTACTAGAAAATTTAGAAAAACATATGCAGCTTTCACATTATATTTCTACCGGAAAGCACTTTTGTAGTCTAGGATATAACCCATTAGCTGTAGTGAAACTCTAAAAATAAATTCATAAGATCCCAATAGTGTTTTTGACAGGCACCAAACAAACAGGAGTGACTTCCAGCAAATTCCTTAACCTAACTGGGTCTCGGTTTCCATGTTTATAACAGGTGACTGGTATAAATATTTTTCCACTGGGATCTGTATGGAGGTCAACTCCAAATACCTGGGCAAAGGCTCTGGAAAACGCCATTTGTGATAGCTGTCTGCTGTCTTATGTGCTCCCTTGGAAAAAAATGCCACACCAGAGCCCACCCACTCCTTTCCCCTGCATCACTTTCCTTAATCCAACATTCCCTAGCAGGAGGACTGTATAAGTCAGGGTAAAAGTGGGACTCTCCTGACATCCAGAGACATGCTGCCCCACAGGACTCATAGGGGATGGGGACTCAAAGAGGAGAAGTTGATGGCTTTCTCAATATACTGGTCAAAACCACCGTTGTACCTGTGCAATGCTCCCTTTGTGACTTACATTGTACTGCATAGGATGCTAGAACCACTGCCGAGTTCAGAGGGCAGGTTAACCTGTCAGGAGAAACGGGTATTAGCAAAGGCATAAAAACCAGCAAGAGTGCAAAATGCTCATAGATCATGGGTAGAACATGCCTTTCTTTTCTTGGATTAACCATTAAAGAACACATGAACCATAATAAAGGGAAAATCTATAATAAAAGTAAATCTCAAATAATAAAGGTAATATACTAAGGATTTTTTAAAATAAAAAGATAACTTTTTCATGTTTGAAATCATATACACCACAAGTGCCCTGAAGCTACAGACCTAACGTTGGCCAGTGTGTTGATTGTTTGACAAAGGTCAGGCTCATTTCTCTGTGAGAAGTGAGAAAATCTTATCTTAGATCAACGGGCAACCTTCAAATCTTTATAGTAAAGACAAGTGATTTTTTTTGTGGGCTCCCTGACTAAATTCCTGAGTTCTAGGGACTCTGTGACTCTTGATTACCCACTTTCTGGATTGGTGGCATCCACTTAAAAGGTAAAAGTAGACAAGTATTCTGAATTTTAACACTTGCAATTCCTTAAATTAATTAACTGTAATTACTTAAGGTTTCTATATCTATTTGCCTTCCTGAAGATTTGCCTGTAGAAATCTACAGTGAACTTGTTCTCTTTTTCCCTAAACTCACTGTCCTCCCAAATGTCCATTTCTGCCAGTGATTCCACCTATCTTAGTCATGTGTTGAATCCTCTGATTGTTCCCTTTTCTATGTTCAACCCTGACTCCATGGTCTACCTGGGAGCACTGCCAGCAGACCTGGGCAGGGGTCACTGCTGAATGACAGAATGGCTGGGAAAGGGTAGGTGGGGGATATGACAAAGAAAATTCTCCTTAACAGCAACACTGGAAGACACTAAGATTTTAAAAGCATCTTCCTAGCAACCCAGTGGGAAGTGGAAAATACAAGCAGTTTCCATGGCAGCCCATGAAGTTCTCAAGATGTGAATCATCCCACCTCTCTGTCTAATCTGGTTGCCACCCACCCCCAGCAGATCTCCTTCCTGTCCATTTTGCTGTGTGCTGGTGTTCCTGAAGCTCCATGAGAGTGGTGACCCCTACATGAGGGGCTCCCATCTTCCCTCAAGTACCTCTGTGTTCCTGTTGGAGCCTGTAAGTGTCTCTCCACGTCTAGGATGAGTCTCAGGGATGCTCACCATCTTTCCATTTACCTGGAGATCCAGAGTGCCCATGGGAGAGCAGGAAGAAAAAGGATGAGTACGAGCCACTTGCTCTCCTACCAAGATGGGCTTAAATTATATCTAGCCAGTGTTAGAGTGGGTGATTTGGGGGGACACCCGAGAAAGAAGCTAACGAGGTTTAGTCAAGACAGGAACAATTCCATGAAGTCAGAAGAAAAGACATTTCCAAAGAATGGTTTTCAAAATACAAGCTACATATTACTGAAAGCCTGCAACCTACTCTCAACTTTTCACATGTTCCTGGACAGATTTCTGTCTCTCTCAGCTTCAGGGTCTCCATCTTGGCTTGGATCCCCCATTTCCATAGGGAGGAGATGGTGCCTGGAATACTGGCTACCACCAACAGTTCAAACAAGTCGGGGGATTCAACATCCTGAAGAAATGCTAACTACATCAAAACACCCTGAGTCACAAATGGCCTGATACATAGTTGAGACATGTCTGGTAGTGGAGAACTTCTCCTTGGAGAGGTGATGAGGGCTGCCTGCAGATCTGATAAGGCATGCTAGAAATCCAAGTCAGAATGTAGCCCTCAACAGATTCCTATTATAGAGTCACTCACAAACACCAAGGGGTATTTTGCTTGGAGAAGAAAAAAGGAAGATGACCAATCTCCGGTATTTTTTGAAAGCTGAGGCAGGCCTTGGCCTTGTGAGCAGCACAGTTCAGTGCCTGTCTTATAACAGGTGTTTGTAAAATATTTTCAGAAAAACAAAGTGTGTGTGTAGAAGAGAAGGACAGAAGAGGTTTCTAAGCCTGGAACCAGGAGGGGAGTGGGCTAGTTCATCCTGTAAGTAGGCTGCCTCTGGAGAGGTGAGTTCTCCATCTCCAGGGTGATCAGAAAAGTGATGTGTCCCTACCCTGATGGCAGGATGAGCCCTCGCTCAACAGTCGATAGGTCTGGAAAGCCTTTCTTCACAAGTCTCAGGTCCCCACCTGCCCCCACCTCCCTGAAGTCTCCTCTACCATGCCTCCCAAATCCTGGGCCTACAGGTCTGCACCTGCTTCCTCCAGGGCAGTCCACTCCTTTTCCCCCTAACCCAAAGCCCTGGCTGGCCTCGGCAGATCTGTCGCAATCACAGGTGCTGCTCTTGCCTAGTCCCTCCTGCTTCTCAAAACCATTAGCTGCTCTCCTCTGCCTGGTGAATGTGAGATGCGTCATGCCTGTGTCTGACATAAAAAGCCCTCTCTGTTCTCTGCAAGCCCTCAACACATGGCTTCCAGTTGGGACTGGGGTGGGGAGTGTCTTCTTGCTTACCAACTGCCCATTTCTCCCCAACCCCAATTCTGGCTCATCTCAGCAGCTCCACAGACTTTTCTAGGCCACACCAGCAGAAGAGGTCCTGGAATCCTATGCCAACTGTGGTTTCCACTAACCATACTAGTCCTAATTGCTTCCTGGGCTCTTGCCTCACTTCCCCAACCAGACTGCCAGTTCCCTCACAGTGCGATGTGCCTAGAAAAGACCCTCCTCTGTGGAACTAAACTCACAGGAGCAAAGAGAGGGTGAGAAGGGGAATAATATGGGGCTCTTTCCATCAGCTTATCTGCTGCTGTTTCTTTCATAAATCAAAAAAATACTAAGGGTTTGGAGCAGGTGGCTCTGGGACATTGGCTTGGAACTTCATCTCCCTTTTCTGAGCAATTCTCAGATAACTTCCAACCATCAAGATGGTCTGGATACACCCGAAGTGCTGAGTCACAGGCAGATGGTCCTGTCTTTGAGTGAAAACTTCCCAGAGAGAAGATGAATCATCCATAGGTACTGAGGGACTTGGAAGTGAACCTTACTCAGGCCTGATCTGCCATCCTGAGTGAAGACCATTTTGCATTCAGGGTCTCTCCCTGCCCTTTGCAATAAAACTATAATAACATAACATGGAGTTTATCGGACCTTAGCCTCTCTTAACCAAGGCTGAGTTGCAAACAGATGTTCGAAGCCTAATGTCATACAGGATGCTGTTTTCAACCTTGAGTCGTTTAGATTTAATATTGCTGCCAGAAATGCACACTCATTAGATTAAAACCAGGAATTTGGCTAGTCTGATAGGAAAAGAAAAATGCAAAATTCTCATTACCTTCCTTCGCAAATATCCATCTTCAGTTGTAAGAAATACAAATGCCTATAAAACAAGTATTTTCATTAATTCACACTCAAACTGAAATGAGCAAAATTTTTTTTAATGAGTCAAAGACAAGACCTGTATGTTTGAAAAACAGAAAATATATAGATACAGCTTTGCCTATCTTAGGTGGTATCAGATATAAGGTATCGGGTATTATTTTGTAAACTGCAAAACTGCCCTGTCCTAGGGAGGGCTGAGCAGGGATGGAAGGAGTGGAAGCTGCCAGGTACTACTGCTGGTACTGCTGCCAGGGGCTCCCGCCCTCGCCTGGGTCTTCCTAGTTGGGCAGCAGGACCCACGGGCATTCTGCACAAGCAGCCTCTGCAACTGACGGGGCCACTGTTCTGAACACTGAGCCAGCATGTGCTGGCCCACGTTCTGTCCAAATGAAGCTGCTAGGAGGAGGAGGGTCTGTGAAGGTATCTCCTTGGCTGGGGTGCAAACACCCAGCTGGGAGTTTTTTCTTGTGGCCTAGGAACTGTGGGTGCTGGACAGAAGCTTCAATAAAGCAGAAGCTGCCAGGACCCTCAAGCTTCATTTTGCACTCCTCTGTGAGCCACTGGCACAGGCAGCTTTGCAACCCCACACCTGGCTAGTGGGCAAGTGGTCACAGGCTCCTCAGCCTTGAGTCTGCACCTCTGTCCTAGGACAGATCAGGGAAAAGATGGTGGTCAACAGCCCTGTGGCAGGCCAGCAAGCACCCTGGAGACATTTATATTTAGGAACGCGGCATACATGTGATGCTTGGCTCATGGATCCCACTCTTTTTTTAAAACCCAGATTCAAACAGGATAGACATTCCAGGGTCTGGCCAAGATGACAAAAAGGAAGCCTCTTGAAATCTAATACAGGCAGGGCAGAAGCGCTCAGGGGCAGGAGAGAGATCACTGGCAATTTCAACAAATTAGTCTCGGATTCCTTCAGGTTGACAGAGGTCAGGGAGCTGGCTTTTTTGAGACATGAAGGCTTCAAACAGTATTACAACCTCATATTTGCAGTTTCGGGTACTTTTGTGATTTTTCACCTCATTTCAACCACCTAATGATTCTGCTACCGTCTCTCTCTCTCTTTTTTTAACAGGTGAGGAAACTGGTATCAGGCTCTGTGGGTCCAGTGGGTTCTGGAGTCAGCTGTGCCTAACTCCAGACAATCATGTTAGAAGAAGTATCTTGCTGTGCTACAAATTTATTATACATTTAACATCTGAAAAGCTTAGGATCTATGTCATAACTCTGGTGTTACTTTCACTGTAATTGTCATCAGTGACCTGTGTGCTGAACATCAGCCATTGAGATGGTATGGTATATGTGTGCTGATTCATGCCCAGACGGTACTGGATTCTATCTTTTCCACCTAGGAGAACATAATCAGTCCTTTCTAGTTTGTTTCTATGTTTATCCAAGCTGACATTCAACCAGAATTAAGTGTTCTCTCCTCCTATAACGCTACCAAGAAAGAAGAGGGGGAGAGAGTTAGAGACGATCCACTGGTCAATCTGGGATCTCAGTGAGGAACCCAGCTAATGAGGATATTTTCCTAGAGACAGAAATGAGAACAAGAATGCAGAGATGACCATTTACCAAATGCCACCTTGTCACATGCTGAGCTGAGCAAAGTTTCTCAGTCAACCCATGAACTGCACACGTGAAGACATTAAAATCGTGGAATGCAACCCAAACTTAGGAGCCTATGTAAGTATCATGAAGGAGCTTAAGTTTTAATTAGAGATTGTCAGAGGCTGAAATTGTGTTTAGAATGATCTAAATTTATCAGAAACAGCAGTTGTGGAGGCCCACGATAAAAAGGACATTTACTTAACAATTAGAATACAGGGAAATTATTTGCAAGAGAAGCTTGTTGTGTGTAACTTCAGAAATGTAATGACCTGCTCTCAAGAGTGTACTCCATCCAGAATTTCAACTTTAGAAAAAAGCAATAAAGCTCTCCCTGTTTAGATACTTCAAAGAAACAAAACCAACAAATACTACCTCTGTATTAGTCCTCCTTTGACTTTTGGGAGCCAAATTTCCTTAAAAGAGATCACTTCTGGACAGGCTACAAAGTCAGAGGCTACTATGCCAGGATGAAGGTAAAAACCCTTCATATTAAGTTTTTTTTTTAAATGTGAATTAATGGTAGAATCTTGGTCCAGCATGGAGGAAGATCTGGTTAGTTCTGACTGCCCCCCAGCTCTACAGGAACCAGATGCCGTGGCTCCTGCTGCAGGGAAAGACGTCTGGTGCCCGTATCCCAGGGGGCAAGAGCCACGTTCTGCTGGATCTTAAGTAGGAAGGTGAGCAGTGGGAGTGGGGTGAGTGTGGAATCTGAGCTAGTGAATTTAAAGAGAGACACAGGTAAGTCCAACTTGAGCTGGGACTTAGGTAAGAACAATATTAGTCCATTACTTATCCTGAGCCACGATCTGCCTCTCTCTAACTCTACTCACTGACCACAATTCAGTGACCCAGCACATCTAACTCTCCTTTCCCCCACGTCTTTGGAAATCCGAAGGTAGCTTCATTTTTTCCTGAGTCTTCTCCCCACCCTTCATTTCCTCAGATGTCCCTTAGTGACTTGAAAGCCCAGCAGTGAGATTCTGTCAGGCCACAGGGCATGGGCTTTTTTCTCATGACATACAGAAGTGGACAGGGTACCAGAGAGGAACTCCTGGATTGGGCTGGTCCTGGGAACCCCTTCCTCAACTTTTGCCACTGGAGAGCTCTAACATACTAACTGCACACCACCAACCTGGGGTCCAGATCACTGGGAGGACACAAGGTGACAGTGAGTCACCTATTTAGGCAGTGCAGTCCACACATGGGCTGGAAGCTATTAGCTGTAGTTAAATCACAAATGTCACAACTGCCATTTTAAAAAAAAGGAAATAGAACAGAAAATTTCAGTATGCTCTACTTGAAACTTCTGTTTCTGTAATTTATGTGTGCAATGCATCATGAAATAAAACATGAAACGTATATTTGTGAGGATTTAAAAAAAACCCATTAGTTAGAACCCCACACACAGATGTATACATGTATATACATGTGTACATAAACATATATATCACATACATTATAATTCACACAATATAGAATACATATACACACATAATCTTTCATGTCACTTTTTGTTTGTTTAGGATGGGGTGTTGCGACACATTGTCCAAGCTGGTCTTGAACTCCTGGACTCAAATGATTCTCCTACCTCAGTCACCCATGCAGGTGGGACTCAGGCATGTGTCACCATGCTCAGGTCCTCATATTATTGTAAAGCATTCATCAAACACAATTTGTTATTTAGTAATGGCCTCAGGAAATCCTGATAGAGTCATTTAAACACATTCTTACAGATGATGTCACCAACTTTGTGTCCATTAGGTTAAGAAATGACCTCTTGGGTTAAATGTCTCTATACTATCCCCAGTCACCAGGATAAAGAGCTATTCAGGGAAAACCTCAAGCAGTGTACACTTCCTTGTGGTTACCCAATGAGTCATACCAGGCCTCCCTTACAATGGCTTAAAAATTAACATAATGGCAAACTAAGCCAAATCCCCAATGCCTGGTATTGTGGAAGGAAGAGGTAAAACAGAGTAATAGCCTAACATGTGGCTTGTAAACATACTAAAAGTTAAAATGTGATTGTGTGATTACCATTGGGAAAAAAAAAAGAAGAAAAGAAGAATGAGACAGCATTCCATGTCTGAGTTAATGCTGCTTCCTTGGTGATGGTCTAATGGGATAGGATTCAGTAATCCTGAACATCCATTGCTTCTTCCTGGAGAAATAATTTCCCTCCCTAAAAATAATAAATGGACAGATAACAATAGGGCTTGAAGTTGCCATGGGGGAGGGAAAGCTGCTGGCACAGCCTGCATTCCAGCAGCAATAGTTTTCCTGAGCTGAGTCCCCTCCGTTCTAAACACCTTCTTCCCCACCCAAAAAATCTACTTGCCAGAACCACTAGAGCCAGCATAGACTCCAAGGCCTGTAGGGTAAACAGCTCCTATTGCAGCCCTCCCTTTATCTGGTTCACATACTTCCTACACCCGCTGAGTCACCCACAGACAAGCTGGGTCTGGCTTGTTCTCCTTCCTAGCCCTGGCACACAGGGACCTGATCCAAAGTTCTCATTACAGCAATGTCTTGTCATCTTTAAGGGCCTCAATCCCAGCCCTTCCGAGATATGGTCCTGTGTGATCTGTGGATGACTGTTCTACAAATTTGTCTTCTAAACCCAGCCTGTATTAGTAGATGATGTTTTTCCTTTCTTTTTTTTAGCAGTTGGGCGGGGGTGGGGTTGAACTCAGGGCTTCACACTTATTAGGCAAGTGCTCTATCACTTGAGCCATGCCTCTAGCCCAACAATGACTTTTTATCCATTGAGCACTATGCTCACCATGCAGGAGAGGCCAAGGAGGTGGAGGAAGATATGAGCTGAAGGAGGAGATGGCCTAAATCAGGATGTTAGAGAAGCAGGCCCAAGACAAAAGCAAATTCACCGTTAAAATTTAATATACAGCCCAAATTCTTACTTGGATCATGATTGTTGGTGCAGTTATTCCCAAATCAAATTATTTGGCCATAGTTATAAAATGAAGAGTACATTATTACTGACTACTCATTTTTATATACTAAATAGAAAACTTAAAGAAAACATCATTACCTGGTTTGTTCTTGCTGCAGTGTGTTGGGGTCAGGTATAAAAAATCTTACTCGAAAATGCAGGGTACAGGGAAAACCTCCTACAACATTTTTCAAAAACAAATTAAATTTTCCCTTTAAAAAAGTCAATGTATGCAAGTTGCTAATCTCCCATAAGTGATGTACTTTTCACTTAACCATAACATTTTCCATTATAAAAGGGCTGATTTCAGATAAGGAGTGCATAAGTTAACAGTTTCAGAAATCTCCAAATCTATAAGAAGTATTAAAATGTTTTGAAGCAGCTGATTTAATATGTAGAGAGAATCACAATGAAAATTCATTAATCATTCACTCATCTAATAAATAGTTAACAAGTGTCTAAAAATGAGAAGTTAAAGTATTTACAACAGCATTGGTACAGATGGCTGTATCACCTACATCCTATTAACGTGTTTAATATAGGGCTGTGTTCAAATGATGCACTCCATTATCCATATTAGGCATTTTTGAAATCCTTAAATAAGCATATTATACAAAATTCACAAAGGTAACAGCTTACACATTTACATAATGACTGATATTTCGCAAACATTTTCATTCTAGAATTTAAACACCACCATGACTACCAGTAGGCCAGGTTGCTATCAATAGCTCTGTTTGGCAGATAAGCCAACAGACTTAGAGATGTAAGTGACTTGCCTTAGGCCATGTAGCTAATGACAGAACCGGAATTGTAGCCCTGAGGTTTTTGATTCTGCTATGCCACATTGCAAAATCATTTTTATACTGAAAAACATTTTACACTTTCGATACCGATGACTAATGAACATTACACAATGGACATACTCTACTATGGCTTTATGTATCAACACCCAGTCAATTCACTTGTGTGGATAAAATGAGTCCATTTCTTCTGACACACATCAATGGAAGTCCAGATTGTGTTGACAAGGTTCCAAGACCTTCTTCGTGTCAATTTCATCCCCACAACTAGCAGCAAATATGCACTGGTTCTGTCTGCATGCTTAGCACTTTCTCACTCTTTGAAACTCAATTCCTTCCCCAGATTGCTCCTCATTTCCTCTGCCTTGGTTCATCCCAGGCTCTACCCTCCCTTCCCTTTAGTAGTTTACATCTTTATCCCTGGCTGGTGCTCAAAGAATCTTTAATGGAGGGTATGTGCCTGTATACCTCTGTACGTGTGCCTGGGTACCAGTGGGTGGCACTATAACTCCGTGTATGCAGGCTCACCACCTGTGTAGCAGCAACAGTGAAGTCCATAGCCCTGGGATGCTCTTTCCATTCCCGTCCCCCTTCTACAACTTGTCACTGTTGTGTTTCAGACATGGGCTGTTTTTTTTTTTCTCACTGTGAATCCAGAGAGAGTCCAATCATGTGCATAGTACTACTATAGAACTCTCTCTTCCTGTGTACTTCCACACTTGGCCATGATCTACTTGAGAGCAGGGTCCAAATCTGACTTGGACTGGATTTCTAGAACTTAGTGCAGTACCTTGCCACCATCTGAATGCTCAGAGTATGTGTGTTCACTGAATAAACTAGTGAGAGAATGAGTGACACACCTATCCACGTCTCATGTGTGCTAATCCCTAAATTCACACAGGGCTGTGTGAATCTGCAAAGGGCTCTGTGGTCTCCCTGGGCACTCTTAAACTCTAAGACCTCAAACTTGTAGGAGGAAAGAACTCTGAGGACCTGGCTTCAGGTAAGGGCAGCTATGGCTACTTGCATCTACTTTTCACTTAGGGGCTGGGACACCACATGTATGCTTACCTATTTGTACAAATCCACCAGCCCATCACCCTTTCTAATTCACTGGCTGCCTCCTATGTGCTGGGCATCAGGAGGGATACAGAAAGGAAAGAAGCAAGGGACCCAACCTCAAGGAACTTGCAGTTCTGACAGGCAGCTAAAGGCACCTCACTATGAGATGGGGTCAAGAGTGTTCAGCCATGAAGCAGATGGTGATGACTGAAAGGGAAGGTAGAGGAAAAATCAAGGTTTCCAATAGAAGAGATGGGGTCTGAGCAGTCTTGAAGGAATGGCAAGAATTTGAGTCAGGGAAGAGACAAAAGCATTCCCAGCAGAGGGAACAGACTGAGGGATGGCACAGAGGAGGCCCTGTAGGCTGGCCAAGTTTGTCTAGGGCATAAGATGCCTAATTTAGGACAGTGAAAGGCACAGTGGAAAACCAGGCTGACAACAGATCAGGCAGGGGTGAGTGAGGTATGGCTTGAATGGCTGCCTATCTGGGAGTTAGCTTTGTGCACTGAGATGCACTGGTGGTGAAGAGGCTGTATTTTTAAAGGATTCATCTATTATGTTTGTGGCATCACCTAGCCATGGGTCAGTCTCCAGTGCTTGCAAATGTGCTGGTATAAAGGAGGAGAGCTGTGTCTGTCTCTTTCTCATCTTGGCTACCATACTCATCCCCTTCCTTCCTTGTAAAAAAAGTAGGCCCCTTGTTCTGAGCTGCCTACTCTCCCCACCTTCCCTTTCTCACCCATGTCTGGTGAGAACCCTTGAGGGCTGCTCTGGAAACATGCCTGCTAACTCCAAAGTCAGCTCCCCTGTCTCCTGGGCCTCCCAGAATCTAGGCAGCAGATGTCACAGGCACCCTGATGAGGAGAAGAGAAATGCAGGTCACCATGGACCTAATAACCAACTGAAATGAAAAGATCACACCCACCTTTCAACTGCTTCCTGATGGGTTTGCTTGACTCGAGCCATCTCTGTTGGGTAAGAAAAAATAAGCTATGAAACCAGTCCATGCAGGACGTCAGGACATTTTACAGGCTGGCACTTACAGGGGACTCCACTGGGTCATCACCATGCTGCAAACCAAAATACTCCTTTTCTGTCACACCCAGATGGGAATATGCCATATCCAGAAGCGACTGGCCAGTATCTTGTTTCTAGACAAAAAAAAAAAGAAAGAAAGAAAAGAAAAAACTTAAAATGAATCAAGAACTAGAACTAGACATGCTTCCTTGTAGGCAAAAGGGAGTCAAAATCTTCAGAGATTTTATGCATACACATTGCCCATAATAACAAATGGGTTAATAAATGTCAGATTACAAGGCCACAGGATATATATGGGAAGGAGAGCTAAGACAAACTATGTACATGAGTTTAACTTTCTATGATTGCTTCCTTCCCCTTAGTTGAGGTTCTCCAGTACTGTCCAGATCAGAAAACTTGCTCAAGATTGCAGTAAAGGCTCTGTGACCTACCCACGGACTACCCGGAGTAAATGCTAATCCTAGGTCACTTTCGGTTGGCCCCTTCAGAACATGGCTATAGCTCCCACCCCTGGAAGAGCCCAGAGGTATGTGCAGGGGAGGAAAACTCTCAACTTAACAGCTAAAAATACTCAAATGCTATTCAAAATATCCTCAAAGTGATCTGACCTGTGTCACCCTGTGGGATTATCTGCCTCACTGCTTCTCATGATCTGAAGTGAGAAGCCGGTGGGACACTCAGCCACACTTCACTCCAGAGTGGGACTCTGCAGCCTTCAACAGTGTTTATGGGGCAGGCATGGTGTAGCACTAGCACAAAGCCACAATAAGCAGCCCTTTCCTGGTGTGCCTGTGGAAGTAGTGACTAAAACACAGGGTGTCAAATGCTGTCAAGTGCTTCGAAGCGATCGAGGCACAGTGGACACCAAGAGGACAACAGGAATGGTTGCTCTACCTGGGGACAAGTGGAACCCAGGCCTACTCTGGGTTTGGAAGGGTGACAGGGTGAGTGTCACCCCTCCCTCCTGGGTGTGTGGGCATGTGAAGCCGATGGCTTGTCACAAACAGAAGCACAAGGGCAGGGACACAAAAACAGCATGGAATGTCCAGGAAATTGCAAATTCTATTTAAACGGGCAGACTTCTTGGGAACCCTTTGAACCAAACCATTCAACTTAAGGACAATGAGTCAGAAATAGACAGAGTACAGAACAGGCCAAAGGTAGCTCTTTTGGTGAGTTCTCAAGAGCAGGTAACGTACTTGAAAATAGGTCACAGTGACCAGGATGGGGAGAATTAGATTAACTGTCAGTCCCTCCTGCAGCAACTTCTTTGGGCAGCCTCCTGGGGTTTGGGCTGCAGTGTGGGAACATGAGACATACCCATTTATAGAACCCAAGAACCCCTGCACATGCTACTTCCTCTACCTAGGGCAACGTGTCACTAGAGAATCTCGAAGGCTGTGGAAAGATAACACAGTCCACACACTCCAAATCATGAGATACTCTCCCCTCAAATTATGACATACCCTCTAATGCATTCCTTTGCTGGACTTCTTACTAATATGGCTTATTCTGCATTAATGATAGATTTAACTATAATTTATTGAACAGCTCCAAGAAGCCAGATCAATACCACATGCACTTTTCACACATGGCCTCCATTTTTTTGTGGTACCTTCCCAAGGAGATATCAGCATCCCTTTTGCCACTGAGCAAACAGGGGCAAAGGGGGGCTCCATGCCTTGCAAACTCACAGCACCAACCAGTCAGAGAAGCTGACTCGGTGCTATGTGATACCAAAGCCCTGTGTTTCTACTGCATTGCATCTCTCACTTCTTCAGTGCCTAACTCAAATATTTGGGTATCAATTCTGCAGAATTCACCCAGCTCTCAAAAGGAATGGAAAGACATGTTTATAATAAGAACAGGCCTGTTCTCACCCCACAAGAGTTCATCTTTGCTACTCCAGTTCATGGCGAGTGACCATCTCACTCCTGTGTTGAGACAGGAATGAATGACGTCCAAATCCACTTCCCTGATGACACCTGCTCCTGTTCACAGAGGGTCTGGGCTAGTCTGAATGAGATGTGTGAACAATCCCCACAGGCAGAACTACAAAGTGAGGGGCGTTTCAAGCTGCAGCCAGGTCCTCTAATTCCTCAGGTGAACTACTGTGGGCCAGGCTGCCACAGGCTTCAGGGGGCAGCAGTGTGGTAAGAACAATCTTGATCCTAACTGAGGATTCTGGTCACTCTCAATGGTCAGGCCTTGTTCTAAGGCTTTTTATGACCCTCACGCCAGGGCCCATCTCACAAGGTCAACGGCTCCTCCTTCCAGCAACACGTTCTCACTGTATTTCTCAGACATTTGTGCTCAGCTTCCCTTAGTGCTTGCCTCTCATCTCATCTGTGCCACCTTCCAACATCAGGCCTTATCCTTCTCTTCTGTCTCCTCACTTCTCATGAGATCTCATCCAGGTCCATGGCTTGAAACACCACCTTCACTCTAGGAACATCCACGCTGTACTCCCAGTCTGGATCCAACTCCCTGAGCTCCTGACTTGTGTATCAACAACAACAATGCAATCAGACCCCACAACAGAACCAGTTATTTCCATCCTCAAGCCTGCCCCTCCCATGACTTCTCATCTCTACAAACTGCAACTCTGTCTTGCCAGGTTGCTTAGGCCATAAAACCTTGGAGTTACCTTGAGGCATCTTATTCTTTTACTTCCCAAATCCTGGCAACAGTAAATCCTATTTGCTCCACCTTCAAATTGCTTCCAGAGTTGATTTTCTGCTAGCCATACCCACATGACCCTCCATCCCCATCATCGGCATCTCTCCCTGGGACTAGCAGAATAGTGTCTCAGCCCTTTCCCTACCTGGTTATTGCAGACAGGGTGCCACGAGTTACATCATATCAAGTCTCTGCCAAACTCACCAGTAGCCTCTTCCTTACATAGTACAAAAGCCAGAGCCCATAGAATGAGCTAGGCGACTCTACCTGATTCTCCACCTCCCACCCTCACCTGTTATCTGACATTACCTCCTGCTAGCTCCCTCTTGCTCATTCCACTGCAGACACACTGGCTTCTTTACTGTTCTGTAACCACATTACGAATCCCTGCCTCAGGGCCTTTGCACTGCTGTTTCTTCTCCCTGGAATGTGCTTCCTTCAGATAGCTTTGTGGTCCTTTCATCTTTTCAGTGAGGCCTTCCCTGATCATATCTATAAATGATCCCCAATTCATCTCCACCCACCAGGATGCAATCTTCAAAAGGGCAGTGACGGAGCTGGAGGCATGTCTCAAGTGATAGAGTGATGGCAGGGTAACGCAAGACCCTGAGTTCAAACTCAGTACTAACCAAAGAAAGAAAAAATGGGTGTGGGGGGGCTGTGATTGCTGTTCTGTTCACTATTATATTCTCAGTACCTAGAGCAAAACCTGGCCCACAGGAAGGGTCAGCAAACATTTGCTTTGCAGAGTGAGTAAGTGAACTATATACTGGCAAATATGCATTTCAGGTATGTTGTTGAGAAAAAGCTCCAACACAAACACCAATTTTAACCAAGTAGCCAGACATGCACTAAGCTGTCAATTTACAGCATCTGGAAGCAACGTTTGTGACTTTCATGGGGTTTGCTGAATGACAAAATTCTACAGAAGACTATGTTAAAAAGGAACCTGGAGATAAGTTCTGTAAAACCCAAGTAGTTGCTTTTACAGGGAACTACAGATGACCTTGCCGACAACACTTGAAACCGGTGGTTCTCCAAACTGCAGCATGCATGGAGACTGTGTGGGGTGCATTTATAACATGGGTGCTCAGGCTTGCCCCATCATGCAGGACAGATTTCTTTCTTAACTCACATCCTAGGATTTCTGATGCACTTTTTGTTTGTGTGGTACTGAGACTTGAACTCAGGGTCTTCACCTTAAGCTACTCCACCAGCCCTATTTTTGTGAAGGGTTTTTTGAGATAGGGTCTCATGAATTATTTGCTCAGGCTGGCTTCAAACTGTGATCCTCCTGATCTCTGCATTCTGAGTAGCTAGGATTACAGGTGTGAGCCACCGGCACCCAATTCTGATGCACTTTAAGATTTGCAAGGGCTGCACCATCCAAAGGGGGACCCATGAGCTACAAAGGCTATTTACATTTTAATTAAGATTCAAAGTTTAATTCTGGAGAGAAGCCAGGTCCTCTATGGGCCCTGCCATCCTTGAGACTGACCGCCTCCTCATATCCTCACACATTTAACAAGTGCTTATTGTGTGCCCAGCCCTGTGCCACGATACCCTTCCTGTCCTCAAAGAGCTCACCATTTAATGGCAACACATAACCTAGTAATTGTAACTATTTTTAAAACACAGCATGCCATGGGCTCTAATGAAGACCATTATCCCCGGATCTGCTCTGCCTCAGGAAGTGGATGGGGAGAGAACCTCCCAGCAGCAAGATATGTGGATCACCCAGGTCACATCACTAAGAAAGGGGACTGGCGAGACTCGGGCAGTTTTTAGGGCTATTTGCCATCCAATTTCAACAATCAAGACTTGAAATCCCAAGTTTTCATTTAAAAATAATCTTTGGCTTCATTTTGCAAGTGAAAACTCACTTTTAGGAACATCAATTAAGAAAAGCACATGCAGAACTTACATTAACTTTAAAAGTCTGTACCAAGCCATCTAAAAACCGTATGCCGCAGACAACTTCCGATCGAGTTTTCTCTTTGGGTAATTCGGAGGTGCGTATGTTATTAATTCTTCCACCCAACGCACGTAACCGGGAGGTCATAACTATCGCTGAATAACCTGTAACATAAGACACGCCTGTTAGTGCTGTTGTATGCAAACTATTAATTACCTGTGAACGGCCTCATGACCAACCCAGGCACCTCACACTTGTGGGCTTGGATCCTCACAATGTAGTCTTGAAAGTCACAGGTAATGAGAACTGGGTAACAAGCCATGTTTCCAATTCAGTTTTGACTTCTAAGAAGCGCTAAGAAAAATTTATCACTCAGTAATAACATGCTCATAGAATTACTTGGCTTGTCTGTCTTATCATTCCCAAGTCCACATTTTCTACTTCCTAGACTTTAATTTTTTAACTTATGTTTTTACTGTCTTAAGAATCTGCATATTCGACCTCTCAAGTTTTACAAAACTAAGCATGGCATACATATGATACAAAACACAAAAAAGTTTATTGATAAACTGTTTATTAAAAAGACGATTTCTACTCATTAAAAGGCAACATTTAGAAGAGTAAAAAGGGAGCACAGAGTGGGAGAAGGTATTTGTAATATACAGATCTACATTAAATGAAGTGTCCCTACAGTTCAGAGAAAAAAGAACAGTCCAGTAAAGAACTGGAAGAAAATAGGTACTCGACCACATCACTCGTCAATGATGTACAAAGTAAAGCTGTAGAGCAGAGTTCCACATACTGGAAGGGCTACTTAAGATGGACAAACCCATGGAGGGTGTGCAGTGACTGGAACTCTGAGGCACTGCTTCTAAGAACATAAATTAGTGCAACTTCACTGAGAAACTTTTTTTTTTTTTTTTTGGTGGTACTGGGGTTTGAATTCAGGCCTTTATGCTTCACTGAGAAACTACTGGACAATATCTACCAAGCTGCTGATACAACCCCTAACCATGTTCCCAACAGAAAAATGCACATTTAAAAACAAAAGATATGTTTGTACAAAAGATATGTACAAGAATCTTCATAATACACCCAAACTGGAAAAGACCTAAACGGTCATCAACCACAGACTAGATAAAGTGTGCCATAATCATACCAGGCACTCACACAGCAAAGGGAAGAAATGAACAATGCTACATGAAATTACACGAAAGAATTGCTTTAATGTTACCCTGAGCAAAAGAAGCCAGGAACAATGGATTGCCTATAGCACGATTCCACTAATCAAAGCTGATAGCAGACAAGCTAGAGGTTGCTTTTGGGTGTAGTATCAAGGAAAAAGAGGCAGAGTCTTCCAGGAAGCTATTAATCCTCTGTCTTGTGTGGGTGCTAGTGACATTTTTGGACTCACTTTATGAAAAGTCATTAAGCACTACACCCATGATTTGTACATTTCTCTGCAAGTTTGCTCTGCTTTTAATGTGGTTTGTGTCCCCCACTGTGGTTGAGGGTTTGGTTTCCCAGGTGGCACTGCTGGAGGTGGTGGAACCTTTGAGAGGTGAGGCCTGGTGGAAGACGCTTGGGTCACCACAGGTGTGAGGTATTTTTCTTCTGACTCCTTTGGCAGGTCTTACTAGGGGTTGTTATAAAAGGAACAAGCGTGCCCCTGCCTGAGCTGCCTCTCTGCTCCTAGTTGGAGGTGTCGTCACTTGCTTGCTTCCAGGTGTGTGACTGCCATTGCCGCCAGCCATGCTGTGATGAAGCCAAGCGCTAAGCCAATGTGTGAACTTCCCAAACTGAGGTCAATAACCTGGTTCTTCAAGTAGTCTGTGCCAAGCAGTTCATTATAGTGATGAAAAACTGATTAAGAAATGTATTTTAGGGCTGGCGGAGGGGCTCAAGCAGTAAAAGCACTGGCCTAGTAAGTGTGAGGCCCTAAGTTCAAATACAAGTCCCACCAAAAAAAAAAAAAAAAGAAAGAAACATTTTAGTATCAAGTTTACGTTTTTAAAAAAGAACATGCTTATGAAGAGGGCGTCAGAGGGCAGTATGAAATCTGACCATGGTAACTGGAACAGTAAGGCAACTGGCTTTACTAGTAAAGTCAATAGGGGAATGGTAAACTGAAGAACCAACAAGATACACATTGGCCGTACCATGGGGGCGGGGAGGGGGCAGTCAAAGGTCTAGGCCTCTATGGGATTATAGGGAACACTTCTACAAGGGAATGATTAGGGAATGCAGAAGATGTAAACCTGACAGGGCTGGGTGTAAGAGCAGATATAGAAGAAGGTCTGAAGAGCATATAAATGCTCTCTATTAATTCTGTACAAATCCTGTCTGGTGAGCGGGACTTTGCACATGCTGTGCCTTCTGCTTGCAATGCTCTTTCTGCTTCTCTTCCTCTGATTAACTCCTACTCACCCTCAGCGTGCTGCACAAGCTTCACTTCTCCCATGAAGCCTTCCTGGGTTTCCCGAGTAAGTCACATACTTGTATTACAGACCCTCTCTATTGTACTCGTCATAATTTTGCACTTATAACTCTGGTGTGTGTTTAATAGCTGCTTTTCAACTAGATACCAAGCTCCATGAGGGTAGGAATTAAGACGTATTTTTGCTCACTGTATCTCCAACACCTACCTCTGGTAGGCAGTGTCTGAGTGAATCAATGAATGAGAAAACAAAGTCACAATTTACAGTCTGAAGCAACAGCAGTTCAATCAGATTGCAAACTCGGCTGATGGGATAACAGTGGGGGCAGGGTAGACATCTCATACTGCCATGCACACACAAAGCACTTGGGGATCTGATTAACATACAGGCTCTGGTTCCAGGAGGCCTGGGAGGGGCCAGAGCCCAAGGTCTGCATCTCTGTCTCCCAGGTGATGATCCAGAGTCTACCCTGTAAGAAGCGAGGCACAGATAACTGGAAATGCAGGGACAAATGTCAGGGCAGGGAATCAGCAGCAAGAGCGAGAGGTGACTCAGCTGGGGAAGGGATGAGGCAAAAGAATGGAGGCCTGAGAACCAGGCCTTGGGGACCTCAGACACAGACTGTAGGAGGAGGATGAAAGCTGTGAAGGAGGCAGAGCCAGGAAGACCATAGTGTACTGGGTACCTTAATATTTTTAGGGAGCTCTAGAGAAATCTCCATTCTTTGTGCATAGGTACAGGAAATCTCAAATATTAATTAAAAAAAAAATCCTGCAAAATAACATACTCAATCATTTACAAAATTCCACCCACCCCACCACCTCCACCTTGCCCTTTTCAATGAAAACGTCATCAGAACCAGGGAAGCATTTTCTGAGTAATACAATAAGTTATCAAGACAACAAATGTGTTCTAGAATGTGTTTTAAGTCACACTGAATTGAAAATGTCAATTTTGTTGCTTGGTTCTTGTGTCAGAATCTCAGGGGGATTACAGTTTTTAGAAAGACACAATGGAATCATTACAAATGTGGTGTTAGTGGGAGGTGCACTCAGAGTCACCTGGGGAACTTTTAAAATGATGCCTGTGCTGGCCCCACCTTACATGGTGACTCAGCACCCTGGGCTGCAGCTCAGGGTGACATTCCCTTTGAGGCGGTCCTTAAAGAAAGGACCGGCAGTCAAAGGCTAGAGGAGTGGGTTTTTGAGGAACCTCAGACTATATTCTGAATGGTCCAACGGAGCCTTGGTGGAATCTAAGCCACTGACTTGGAGCACGTGTGAAAGTGTCAGGCCATCACCACAGAGCAGCAGACAAAGAGATAATCACACAGTGGCCCTGGACAGAAAACCATGACGATTGCAAACAGAGGTCTGCAAATGAAAGCCAAGTGGGCTACATGCCAGCTGCAGGCACAGACCTGTGCACTGCTCCTTGACTAAGCATCCCCTCATTGCTATGCCAGCGTGGGGACCACAGAACCGATGAACGTGACCATAGTTAATGATTCTTCCCAGCATGGTCACACAGCCAGCTGACCAGATAAAGTAGGCCAGAAACCAGAAGAGATAGGATCCCCCGCCCCCCCACCCTTCACATGCATTTCCATCACACAAAAGGCTTGGAACCTAAGGACAATGTCATAGAATGGTATTTCATGAAAGCTTCAGAAGTGTTCTTCCTACAATTATTCCTAAGCAAACCTTGATAAAAGCGTGCCTGACGTTGAAACACCACACAATTGGAGCATGTAGTGCTTTCTGATTGTCTTGAAACTGTATCTTAAACAATCTGGCTGGGACAATGACTCTTGACTAGTTGCCCCGTTTCCTGGACCACGGCAATCGGGGAGCTCAGGTTTCTATGGCTTCCTTTATAAGCCTCTTAATTATAAACAAAGCCACAACCCAAACAGGAACACACTGGCCTCTGTGACCACAAGTGATCACAGCTGCAGCTGACGCACTTACAGCATGGAAGTCAAGCCTATTCTCTGTACAACGTTTAAAATCAAACAGCGATAGCATTAGAATGGTATGCACACTAGCAGCAGAGGTTCTACTGTGAACAGTTTTCAAAGATCAGACCTGGAAAACATCTCACTCTGCACACAACAGGAGTTCAATGAAGACAGCTAGAGGCAGCACACACAATATGAGACACATTTAGGTACTCAATAAAAGACATTCTAGTAAGTTACACATGATGCTGTTAGATGTGACTAGATTCTAGATTTTGACGGCTATTCTGGTGTCAAATACTTTACAGCTATATAAATGTTTCATTTCTTAAGAGCTTACTCACTTAAATATAGCCAGCTTGGTAGAGTTAAAAGGCAGTCTTGATTACACATATGATATACCCGAGTTGCTCCAAACTCAATGGAACCAGAAGCAGGAGTGTGATGGCAAAAATTGCCACACCCCGGGTATGTGGTACCGGCACCTTTGTGCCAGGGTTGGTAACAAGGCTTCCACTGTGGCCGCTTGGTGGCTGCCCCAGTGCCTGACATGGGAAAGAGGTAATGCCAGTGCTTAATTTCCTAAGGGTCTTCCCAAAGTTATTGTGGATCTTTGTTCTTTCACAAGCCAATGAACCACAGGTGGAAGAAGGAAGAATGTAGCACAGCAGTGGGAAACCCAACCCAGCTCCACTTGGATCATTTTCAAAGGAAATACCAATTATTCTGCTCTTTGAAAAATAAGGAACTTAGGTCTCTAATTTCA